CACTGTTTCAGCGCCTCGCTGAAAGCCTTAAAAAGCTTGCGGTCACTGGTTCTGGCCACACTCCCAGAACCGTTTCTTCTTGGCTTGGCAGCAAGTGCCAAACTGCTGCCCTGCTGCTGCTGCTGCGACCGCTGGGTTCCCTGCGGTTCCGGTACGTGGGTGACGCCAGGCCTCGAGGGCTCAGTGTCACTTCCTCCACAGAGCCCCAGCGATGGCACGCCCCAGCGTGTGGCCAGCAGCTAGCCCACAGCCACACCAGGTACAGGGGTTGCCATCTAGGCCGTCAGACCTGGCTGCTGGCGGCTGAGCTGCGGGCGCTGTGCTGGCCTAGGGACAGCTCTCACCCGGGGTGCCCGGCTGCCGGAGGGGCTGTGCAGGAGGTAGGCCTTTGGCTTCCATGAGGCGTCACGACTGGGTGGCGGTTTGATGTCTAAAAGTAGGAAACCCTGTGGAAAGCCCGGCTTGAGGAGAGCAGAAGACATAAGGACGCCGTCTCCTTGGAGCCCCCGTTTCAGGAGAGGCCACGTTATAAGTATTTTGGGTGATGGCCACCGTAGGTCTTCTGGTGGACAGCCCCAGCTGACTTCCCAGTTGACAGACAACATCAAATGCCAGCCGTGTGACTGAGCCACCTTGGACCCACAACACAAGTGAGCTTGTGCGCCAGACACCCTCGGATTGCAACCAAATGTGCGACCCCAAGGGAACATGGAAGCTATGCCAGCCAACGCCCAGAACCGGAAGAGACAATGAGCTGTTGTTTTAAGCCACTGAGTGTTGGGGGGCTTGTTTTGTAACAATACATAACCAGAACACCCACCTAGAAGTCGAGATCCAAGCAAACTATCAATGGAGTATAAAGGCATTTAAAAATATTCAAGATCTCAAAAGTTTTACCCTTCGTTTGACTTTATCAAGACGCATCGCCCCAAAAAAGGAAGTAATCTAAGAGGAAGGAAGTCAAGGAATATAGGAAATAGGAGAGGGTTTTTTTACACACTCCTGAGACAAAGGCTGCACAGCAGGCGCCAAGAGCCAGTCTCCCAGAGAATTGTCCAAAATTAACAACAGACTTCAAATCACACAGATCCAAGCAAGCGGACAAAACAATCCAGGCGTGTTGCATCCCACCGCAAAAAAAGAAAGCAAAAGAGAGAAGCCAGGCACGGTGGATCACGCCTATGCTCCCCTCAAAATGTGTATGTTGAAGTCCTGACCCTCAGTACTTTAGAATAGGACTGCGCTTGGAGACAGGACCTTTAAAGAGGTGATTAAGGTTAAGTGAGGTCGTAAGAGTAGGTCCTAACCCAACATGACTGGCATCCTCATAAGAGGAGACACCACGCATGCACATGCAGAGGGACAACCATGTGAAGAGGCAGCGTCAAGGTGGCCGTGTGCCAGTCAAGGAGAGAGGCCTCGGTGGAAACCAGCCCTGCTGGCACCTTGACCGTGGGCTTCCAGACTCCAGCGCGGTGAGAAAATGAATTTCTGCTGTTGCAGCCGCTGTGTGTGTGGTGTTCGTTCTGGCAGCCGGAGCAGACGCGGCCAGCGCTGACGTTCTGCACTATTCGCTCTATCACCCATGTGCTCGCTCTCCACGCACACGCGTGTGGGTGTGCACACGTCTTTCTTTCTGAACGTTTTAGACTACATTCCACATCATAGCCCTTTACCCCTAAATACCTGTATTTCCTAAAAATAAGGATATTTTCTTACATGACCACAACACAGTTATCAAATTCAGTGACTTTAATGCTGATCCAATTAGACAGACTCTAATCTACTGTTCAAATTACAATTTTGTCACAGGACCCGAAAACATCTTTCTAGTATATTTGTTTCCAGTCTAGGGTTATGTATTGCATTTAGTTGTCAGTTCTTCAAACATTTTTATAGACTTATTTTAAAATCCTTTTAAAATTGTATCATCTCTAGTTTCTCAGATGTGATTTTGTCGCTTGCTGCACCTGTTGGCTCCTCCACTAGGGGGCAGGTTTCCTCATCTCCGCCTCTAGCTTTGTGAGTTCATCTGCAGCAAGAGCTGCCTGCTGAAGGTGTCTGCCCGTGCCAGGCTCATGCCCTGGGATGTGGGGCAGTTTTGCATTTGTCCGTACGGATCTCTACAGATGCATTGGTTGTAGACCATTTTTTACGTTCGTTTCTTAGCGTGGTGTTTCTGGACCACGTGAGTGGCCCATGCGTAGTGCAGGCCCATGGTTCCAGTTTCTTAGAGATGACGCTCTTTCGCCCGACGCTGGATTGATGTCACGGTTTGCTCTAGTTTCACGAAAGGGCAGCTCCTTCCACGCTCCAGCTGTATGCAGAGGGCCAGTTCCAGAGCCCTGCCGCTGGGCGTGGGGCTGGGCCTTGACTTCCACCCCTAGGCACATACCTGGTCCTGGCGCCTCTATGGACAAGTCACCTTCAAGCCACTCGCTATGAGGACCTGCTTCATTGCAAGGGCCCGGATACCATATTTCCCTTGTTTTGAACAAGGGAGATTACACGTTTCTCATGGTGTGTACGTGTGCGAGCGTCTTGGCTCCCTCCACCTGCCAGCTCAGTCCATGGCAGCTGCAAGCCCTGGGCAAGCCATGTAATCTACTCCGGATTCACCCATCAGGAAAATGGGACCTAACGGTACCCACATCACAGGGTTGTCCTGAAGCTTTAACGTTATTCGATACATAACCAAACCTCGTCTGATCTCCCTTACGTTACCTGTCAACAGCCAGACCAGACTGGAAGGGCAAACGCCAGAACACAAAACCGTGCTTTTCCCTGGGTGATTTCAGTTTATCTGTGTGTTTGTGTATATACATTTTCTGCAATGAACATGAGTTACCTTTGTGATTAGGAACCGGCAATCAATTATACATAAACATCGGGCATCTGGTCAACTCTTTAAGTGCTGAGAGCCAGCTTGCCTGCAATGAAAGCTTCAAGACATGATGAGGACACTTTTGCAGGGGCAGGATGGTTTGGGGACGGGGAGGTAGCCATCGAGTGTGCTACCCGAGTGTGTTTGCAGGTGGGGGACAGTGAAGGTGAGAGAGCGAATCCCCCAGGGTGGACCCTGGTGACTCCCACGGCACTGCCTCACCTGGTCCCAGGAACCCAGACTCCGAGGGCAGCTAACCTCAAGCCGCTGCCCCGTTCAGCAACAACAAACATTCACTGTGGGTGCCAGAGATTCTCAGGAACCAGCAGCCACTGCCCTGCCCTCAGCGGGCTCTACGCTCAGGACAAACATCAGCGGGTGACGCAGGCTCAGCTACTTCACTGTAGCTGTGTGAGGGACTTTCCAGATGGGCGGGGGCCACTGGGAACATGGAAGAGTTTAGCCTGGTCCGGCGGGGAGGGCCCAGACCTTTGAGGACCAGGTGCTGGGAACAGTCCCTGGGGAAGGGGTGGGCTGGGAGGCGTCCTGGGCCTGGACCCCGGGGAGACGCCTTGGTCCCTTTTCCGTCTCCGCATCTCCCAGCGTGCCTTGTGCAGGGCCAGGCCACAGTGTGTGTTTAAAAGGCTGAACAAATAATGGAACCAAGCAGGATTTCTCCCATTCACTAGTGCTTCTCCAAGGTCACCCTTCTGCACAAAATGGGGACAGGCTGGGGTCATCTGGAGATTTGGGGCTGGACTTATGCTTGGTGGTGTCCCACAGTGGGGCCACGTGGGCCAGGACAGGATTGTTTCCTGGATGATGCCTGGTAGCCGGCCCTGGGATGATTTAGGGACGTGGCAATCTAGGCTTGCGGAGAGAGAGAGTTAAAGAGATAGTTGGAGCTATCTATTAATACTTGGGACTGGCTGCTTTGCATAAGAAAGGCCTCTCCCGCCCAGTCCTTTGCTATCTCTAAGAACTGGCTAGCCCAGTATTTTGGGAGGCTGAGGTGGGAGGATCACTAGAGGCCAGGAGTTCAAGACCAGCCTGGGTCACATAGTGAGACCTCATCTCTACAAAAAATTAAAAAATTAGCCAGCATGGTGGCACCCACCTACAGTCCCAGCTACTTGGGAGGCTTAGGCAGGATTGCTTAAGTGCAGGAGTTCAAGGCTGCAGAGCACTATGATTTTTGCCTGTGAACAGCTACTGCGCTCCAGCCACAGAGCAAGATCCTCTCTCTTAAAAAAAATAAAAAATTGGCCCTGGGAGGGGAAGTCACTCCAGGGGTCTATAAGGCCCCCAAATGCCAAAGCACCAAGAAAACAGAAAATAAGAAAATATAACTGGCCCTCTGCGAATGGAAGAATCGAAGAAAACAGAACAGGCACCTCCTCTGGGCCAAGCCCCGAAAGAGCCCTTTGTGTGCTTTAGGGCAGGGAATCCTCAGCGTGTTAACTCCCCTATTTTTAGGCCGGATGTAATCCTAGCACTCTGGGTGGGAGGCCAAGGGGTTCAAGATGAGCTTCAGCAAGAGCGAGACACCATCTCTACTAAAAATAGAAAAATTAGCCAGGTGTGGTGGTGCACGCCTGTAGTCCCAGCTACTCGGGAGGCTGAGGCAGGAGGATCGCTTGAGCCCAGGAGTTTGAGGTTGCTGTGAGCTAGGCTGACGCCACGGCACTCTAGTCTGGGTGACAGAGTGAGACTCTGTCTCAAAAAAAAAAAAAAAAAAAAAAATTCCCGTATCTTGGCAGTGAAGAGATGGAGGCACACAGCGATCACATCACTGCCCAAGGTCACTCAGCAGAGGCAAGGTTTGAATCCAGTTGTCGCTCAGAACCTGGCAGCCGCCCATCAGGGAGCTTCCCTCTGTCCTTGTCCGCAGGGCTCAGGGCGTCCGAGTCCCCTCTCGCCCCCTCCCACTGGTTAATACCTGCGAAGTGACAGGAACCATTGCTTCGGATGTCTGCACGTTCCTCTAGACCCACCTGCGTCAAATTTCAGCGTCATCAGATATTCACGGAGTGCTCAGCTGCATTCGGAGCTACACTTGCACAGTCTCGACGCCTTGGGGAAATGCACGACTTGAGCGGATCAGTATTTCCCTCACCCTCCTCCAGGCCGGGCGCTGGCGGCAGGGGTGGACCTGGGCGCTCACTGCCCATGGCGCGAGCCTAAAAAGTCACCGGGTGAAATCCGCCCACCGCGTCCCGGGAGGCACGGGGCAGCCCCGAGGGCTCCAGCGCGGGGGGAGGCTCGCGCTGTGTCTGCAAACTCCGGCGGCCAGCGGGGAGCAGGGGCCGAGGGCGGCGGGCCGAGGGAGCGCCAGGGCTGCCACCTTGCAGAAACGGCGGCCCCAGGGTGGCGGGGGCCACGGGGCAGGGCCCGCAGATGGAGCCGAGCCGGGGGACTCAGGCGCCTCCCTTCCCGCCCCCCGCCCGAGGTGCGGACCCAGGACCTTGCTGGCCACAGGCCCGCTGGGGCGGCCGCCCGCGTCTGAGACGCCTGCAGCGGCTGCGAGGCTGGGGGAAACCTGTGCTCGGCAGTCAGCTGACGACGCGAGCCGCCGCGGCGCCCCAGGTCGGCTCCCCACGCCCCGAACGTCCCTCGCAAGCTCCTCAGGTGCCCCGGCGTGGACCAGGTACACGCATGCGCAGCGCCGCGGACTACGACACCCGCCGTGCCCCGCGCGCGCGCCCCGGAAGTGGTCGTGCGGATCGTCGCCGACCTCTGCACCAGGGGCGGGCGCGCTGGCTGATCTGGGTAAGGGGCGGGAGCGAGGACCCGATGCCGGCTAGAAGAGGCCGTTATGGCTTCGGCTGGAGGCGGCCACTGTGAGGGCGCCGCGCCGGAGGCCGACCGTCCCCACCAGCGGCCCTTCCTGATCGGGGTGAGCGGCGGCACTGCGAGCGGGAAGGTAAGGGCCGGCTAGCCGGCCGCCTCGCCTCTGACCAGTGCCTCCGCGCGGCCCGATCCGGAGAGGAGACCCTGGCCCCCAGCCGGGGCGCCCCCTTGCAGGCGCAGGCAGGGGAGGGGCGAAGGGGCTGCGGGCAACAGTGGGCCAGGGGCCGACCCGGGGACAGGCAGGGGGTGGGGCGCTTGCCCTCGGGCTCTCCCCAAGCCTCCCTACTGGCCTGGCCCCTGGGGATTCCCACTCCGTGCTGCCCCCCGTGACGTGCCCCGCGCCCCTCCCGCCGAGACCAGCCCCAGCTGTGGCTGGCCGGTCGGGCAGCCCCCTAGGAGGTGATGGGTCAGTGTTTCCAAAAGCCAGCTCCGCGCAGAAGCGCCCAGGAAAGGCCTGGATGAGTTTCCAGGCAGGGACTTCTGTTTTTGTACCCCCCAGTCAACTGTGTGTGAGAAGATCATGGAGCTGCTGGGACAGAACGAGGTGGACCACAGGCAGCGCAAGTTGGTCATCCTGAGCCAGGACAGGTTCTATAAGGTCCTGACGGCAGAACAGAAGGCTAAGGCCTTGAAGGGACAGTACAATTTCGACCACCCAGGTAGGTCAAGTGCCTGACAGTGGGAAGGCTGGGGGGAGGCCTGCTCGCCAGCCTCGGCTTGGCCCAGGGTTGGATTTCCATGAACTCCCCATGCAACCTGCAGAGGAGGGGGCTGCGCAGTCGAGTCAGGAGGACTTTGCTGAGCTCTCTGGGCCCTGGCTGCTCTCTGGGCCCACAGGAGCTTGGCTGGAGCCAGTCAGGAAGCCCGTGGCACAGAGGGGCCGTGAGGACCACTGCACTGCCACCATGGTGTGGTCATGGGGAAATCCGCTCACTGTCCCGCCCCCTTGGCTGCACGGGGGCCTCACCCACCCTACTCCCCACCCCTGGCCTTGAGGCAGAGTGCCCAGAGAGGCTGGTGTGGGAAGCAGTGGGTAAACTAGAGCTGGTGGCCCTGGACTGTTTCCTGGACTGGTCAAGGGCCAGGTAAACAGAGAAAGATGGGGCAAGGAGATACCTGCCACTACTAGAAGATTCCACTCTGGTTGGCTGTCATTTTCAGCCCTTTGTCAGGGACATGTGGGAAGAAGGCCTGCAAAGTGGCGGTCTGTGGTTATTCTCAGAAAAGAGAGAAGCCAGAGGCCCAACCTACCCACCTCCCAGTGACAGCTGATCAGAAAATCCCTGTGTTCCAGCTTCCTGGTGGGACAGCTTGGGCAGTGGCACTGCCTGAGGGCGGCAAGGACAGGTTCATCCTGTGGTTGGCAGGACTGCAGCGGGCCCTGTTGCTACCAAATATAAACTGTAGGGGCAGCTCCTAGTCTAATGTGCTAGGTCCTTGGTGTCCCTAGTACCGAGCTGTGCTGACCCCGAGGCAGAGGGAGTTCCCTCCTGTCCACTGCACAAGGGCAGCTGGCTTATCTTGGTTTGTGCTCCATCCCTGCAGATGCTTTTGATAATGATTTGATGCACAGGACTCTGAAAAACATCGTGGAGGGCAAAACTGTTGAAGTCCCAACCTATGATTTTGTGACCCACTCTAGGTAAGCAGGTGGTTCCTGGGAGGGTCAAGGAGAGGGTTCGGGCAGGGCGTCCCCTCTGGGTTTACAGACTTTTCGGTGGCAGGCCCTGCCCCAGTGGTTTCTGTGGACGCCCCACCCCTCGCTGTGATCTGCCCCCTCCACAGAGCCAGTGGCCCTGAGCCCCGATGGAAGCTGACTGTGTGGCTCCAGAGAGCCCGTGTCTCCAGCGAGGCCCATTTCCTCATCTCCACCTCGCAGGTTACCGGAGACCACGGTGGTCTACCCTGCGGACGTGGTTCTGTTTGAGGGCATCTTGGTGTTCTACAGCCAGGAGATCCGGGACATGTTCCACCTGCGCCTCTTCGTGGACACAGACTCCGACGTCAGGCTGTCTCGAAGAGGTAAGGCGGTGAGGGCCGGCCTGCTTGCCCGGGCAGAGGGTGGCTGCAAGTCCTGAGGCCCTGCTCTTGTCGCCACAGTTCTCCGCGACGTGCACCGAGGGAGGGAGCTGGAGCAGATCCTGACCCAGTACACCACCTTCGTCAAGCCCGCCTTCGAGGAGTTCTGCCTGCCGGTACTCACCTTGCGCTTACTTGAAAGGCCTGTTTCTCCCTGTTGAAAAGGACACAGGGTCTCCAGTTCTGTGACAGAGCTGAACTTCGGATGAAAATGATCTGATTTAAAAATGAAGAATTGAGCTTATTATAGCCAAGTACCCAGGGAATGGTTCTCAGTTCTAAACACATTCTCTGTGCTTGCTCCTCCACCGTAAAAAGCCCCTCATCTCCCCTTGGGCCACGTTGGCTCTTCTCCTGCCTGTGTCAGGCCTTTACCCAGGCTTATCGCTGGCGACTCCCGCCAGTGCCCTCCCCGGCTGCTCTGCCTGCTGTTTCCCCAGGGCAGTCCTCACCTGATGCGTGCTGTGTGTTTTACGTTTCCCCCCGAGAGTGGTAAACCCCATGAGGGCAGGGACTTTGGCCTGTTCGATTTCCTACCAGGATCTGGCCCTCGGTGGTCGCTTCGTAGCTGTTCCTGCAGGGCACGTGTCCCACAAGCTGCTCTGGGCTGGCGCTCTGAGGCCCATGGGCTTGTAGAGAAGGAATTTCCTGTCAGGCAGCCGCCTGTCTTTCCCTCCTTCTTGCACTTCTTATTTGATGGGACTGTGGCTCTACTCAGATTGGAGTGTTTTAGAGAGAAATTTAAGAGTCTTTTGCCTCTTAAAGGTAAGAATACAGCACAAAGTATCCAGAACCTGGATTCCTACTTTAGATGAATAGGACAAATAAGTTCTATCTGCTGCTATTTAAGGAAAACATTTGAACATTCATGTTCTCTGAAGTTTCTGGAAAATAATTTGAAAAGTAAAGTAGCTGTTATAGTCTCTCTCTTATTCACAGAAAGATATTTGGCAAAGTAGGTGGTCTGCGGTAAAGCCTTGGACACCAAATCTGACCAGGAGACCCAAGTAGAGGAAGTGCCATCGCCTGTCCCGTGCTGGGCCGAGCCCCAGGGTCATTCCGGGGCCTCCTTCTCCCTCATGTTTAGCCACTTGTGCAGTCCTATTAACCCGACCTCTTAAATATTTCCTGTCTATGGTCTCTGACCCAGGAGGCTTAAAAAAAAAGTCCTGACTGTATCCGTTTCCCACCCTGCTGGCGACCCTTACCCGCCCTTTCCTGGGCTTCTGCTGCCTCTGGGCTCCCCCTCTTCCCGCCCCCAACCCAAGGGCTACGGCCCTCGCACTCCTGCTTCCCTGGGTGGGCCCCACTGCCTGTAGATGCAGCTGTCCCTAGGACTCGGGCCCTGCCTGCCTCTGCGGCTCAACTCTCGTGACATCCACCTTGACCCAAATCCACATGGCAGCAGCACCACACAGTTGGCAGGTCTGTCCCTCGGCCTGGACCGTGCCCTCCCTCCTGCCCCAGCTTTGCCTGATTCAGGTGTGTCCCCTCACAGCACCCTCCCGGGGTCTCCCACCTTCCGGTTGGGTCCCTCCCCCATGGCCCAGCACAGCCTGCTCGCTCTGTGCCTGCCCTCACTCAGCACAGTGTCTGACAGGAACAGGTGGATACTAACGCAATTAGTTAGAACAAACGTGGGTGAACGAAGGAAGTCAAGCAGGTGCCACGGGCTGTCTGCATGCGGAGCACCGTGCGTACAATGGGTTATGCGCGGCTGTGTCTGTCCTGCTCTGCCTGTTCCTCTAGGGTTTTTGCAGAAATGTGCATAATTCCAGAGGAACAATGTCCTGCATTGTGGAAGGTGCCACACTTGGCTTGGCCCAGTGAATTAAGTTGTTAGCACAGACAACTGTCCCCTGCCATGGCGTTCATGGAAAAGAACTAGAACAGTAAGTGATTCAGAGACGCTAGCAGTGGCAGTTTCTTTTGTCTGCCCCAGCGTCACCTTCTGCCTCACTACCTGGGCTGCTATCTCTCACCCGGGAGAGAGAGCTGAGCCCCTGCTCCCCATCTGCCAATGACACCGACATCTCTGAGCACCCCAGGGCTGCCCCTCCCGCTGTCACATCTAGTTCCAAGCACCTGAAATCACCTTTGGTGGAAAAATCCTCACAAAAATCTCCTTTGTGCCTTGCAGACAAAGAAGTATGCAGACGTGATCATCCCTCGTGGGGTTGACAACATGGGTAAGAACCTGGCCCGATGGGCTGCCCGGCTCCTGTCCCCCTCCCAGAGCCACAAAGCAGGGGCTGCGACACCCTTTGGCAGCTACTGGGCGTTCCCAATGCATGTGCTTATCTGTGGCACAGGTTTAAAACATGCTTTAAAAATTATTTAAAACTGTTTGACAGGATCGTCACTTGTTAGTATTTTAACCAGGCTTTAACATAAACCCTTGGCAGAGGCCGCGTCAGAGTCTTACCGGGTTTGTGTCCTATCGTGCGTTTTCTGCCGAGACATGACACCAGGCGGGTGCCCACTCGCGGAGACTTGTGCTTCGGTGTGTGGCAGTCGGGCTGTCACTTGTGGCCAAGTGCTGCTGCCGGGAGCGGGGAGCTGGGCGTGCCAGCAGCGGCCCTTGTGCTGGCGTCGCGTCGTGCCGAGGATGGACACGGCTAACCCGCTGCCTGTCTTCTGCCGCAGTTGCCATCAACCTCATCGTGCAGCACATCCAGGACATCCTGAATGGCGACATCTGCAAATGGCACCGAGGAGGGTCCAACGGGCGGAACTACAAGAGGACCTTTTCTGAGCCAGGAGACCACCCCGGGGTGCTGACCTCCAGCAAACGGTCACACTTGGAGTCCAGCAGCAGACCCCACTGAGGGTCTGCCGGGGCAGCTCTCCTGAAGGGCACGTGCATTCGGGACCTGGGCCTGGAGGTGCCCACCTGCTTCTGGGAACGCACCCACCGCTTCCTCTCCATGCGTGTCCCCGAGTGGGTTAGGATCAGGCCTCCTGTACTTGCGAGTGGAAGCCTGGACGTGTCGTTCAAACTCAATTGGACAGAATATTGACAGGGCGTTCCTGAGGTTTTCACCTGCTTCCCCAGGTTTTGGGAGGTTTAAAAATCTCTCTGGGTCACTGAGAAATGCCACAGAACGTGTGGCAAGCCTAAGCCCGCTTGCTTCTGCAAGGAGTGCAAGTCATGCACAGTTGGGGAAACTGAGGAAACAGCCGGGACGCCATGGCTGGCCTGGTGTTTTTTGACAGGGAACCCAGAGGAACGTTTTCCAGTCTCATGTGGTTCACACACACACATAACTGAAATGTTTGTGGGAGAATCCTTTCCTCTTCACGTGTTACACATCTCAGTGATTTGTTTTGTTCTGTATCATAGCACAAGGCCGGCTGTGACCTATGAGCCTGGTTTCACGGTCGCAGTCAGGAGTGGCAAACACCGATGAGAGGAGCCACAGACGGATGGCTCCCTCCTCCCCCGCTGTGGTCAGAGGCAGAGGAGTGGCAGGAGCCTGGGGAGCAGCCGGCGTCAGCATAGCCGGCAGGGCTCTTGGGTCCAGGCCGTGGCGCCTGTGCAGTGGGCGGGGCAGCGGCGGTCAGGTCTATCCCGGCCAGGACACGTTGTCTGCGCACAGTCCTGGCCCCCCACCCAGCAGCAGGAGCCCGAGCCCAAGGTGCTGTATGTGGACAGGCTGTCCCCAGTGTAGCTCGCGGCCACATCCAGGGCATGGTGCATCCAGCCAGCACTCGTGCCGGACTGTGGAGGTTCCAGTGAGTGCGGCTGCCCGAGGCCGCCCAGTGTCCCTTATGCTAGTCCTGTGCTCACGGCTTCAGAAGTGATCTGTGTCTGTGTCCAAGTGTGTCTTCCCTCCCACATGATGGCTGTTTCTGTGAGGTGTCCCTTGCCACTGTCATGAGCCAGACTGCACAGGCAGCTCTGGGCTTCTTTCCATCCCGTGTAACTCACCGTAGTGACGCAGACACGAGGTGAGCGTTGGAGCTGTGACAGTTTTGTCAAGCTCAGGCCCTTTCCGAGGGAAATGAATAAACAACACCGAATGCGAATGTCAACGTGTCCTTTCTTTAATACGTAAGAGGAGACAAATTCAGGACAAGGAGACGTGTGGATGGCACAGACCTTGACTGTTGAAGATGCCGCTCGCGCTCGTCTCAGCACCATCTCATGGAGGGCTGTTCACACGCAGCAGCGAGGGTAGCAGAACCCGCGTCGGAAGCTCACCACGCCGGTGACTGCCGCGCGGCTGCTGGAGGCAGGCTGGCCCACTCGGGCTCGGGGGTGTTCGTGGGGAGGATTTGGCGCCATCAAAGCAAACACCAGACCTGCGGCTGTTGGCAAAGGCCGGTCCCCGCTCGTTGCCCCGACTGACAGAGGCCTTCTGCCTCGCCCTGCCCCAGCGCAGGCCGTCGTCACGGGCTCTTACTCTAGTATTTTCGGATCAAGATGTCCCAGCTGTCTTTCCAGCGAAGGGCCTTGAGTTCGTCTGGCGAGAGCTCCTTGTCCCCATAGGTCAAGGGGCGCAGCGTGTTAGACACGTGACACGCAGAGGAGCACCAGGCCACAACCAGGGCGCTGAGGAGGTTCCTCTGGAGCTGGGACCTGCGGGTGGCAGCGCCAAGCAGGGTGAGGACAGCCGGCTCCTCCTCACAGCTTCCCCGCCTGGCACCCTCTTGGCATCTGCCGTCTGCGTGGTCACCTCCCAAGGCGTGTAGGTTCTGCCCGCAGGTTTCTAGACCTGTCCTGTCCTTTCTGTTTCTATTCTCCCGCCACCTGTGACCATCTCCTGCCTGGATGTGCCAAGAGTGACCCTCCTCACAGGACTTCCAGAACTGCCACGGCTTCTGGGCCATCCGTGCAGACACCAGAGGATGGGCCCCAAGCCCGTCATCAGCACCTCATGGCCCTCGCTCCAGCTTTCTCAGGTTCTCTCTACCACGCGCCACACGATCAGCCATCACCCAGCTGCTGTCGTGAGCACACCTGCGGCTCTCTGGTCCTTGCCTTCACTCCCAGCTGCCTGTGTCCCCTCCCGCTTCCCATCCTCTCAACGGCTTCCATCGCTGAATCCCGCAGTGCCTTGTCCGAGCCTCTGTGGACACTTAGCCCGCTCCGCGCTACGCTGCAATCAGTGTTCGTGAGCCCTGGACCCTGCTCGGGGGCTTGCCCGGGGTTGAGGGGTTTTCGCGCAGCAACGGGCTGCTGCCTGAACGACCCAGGGCCGTCTGCAAAGCCCCCGTACCTGCACAGGTGGTCGTTTATGTGCTGTAGGACCACAGGGAGCAGGAGGATCTGGAAGGTGAGCGCAGGCAGGTAGTGGTAGAGGAAGAGCGTCTTCTCCATCAGGAAGAACGGGAGGTAGTTCACTGCCCAGCCCCCGGCGCACACAGCCCCGGCCAGCACCCAGCGCTGCCAGGCGTCTGCAGAGAGGGCGCGTCTCAGACGGCGCTAACCAATGGGCTCCACCTGGCCCACATGCCAATTTCCTCATCTTGAAGTTACACACACACACATCCTCGGTTCTCGATTTTTCTTACTCTCCCCCCAACCCTCCCCACTGGCTCTGGAGGAAGAATGAACTGTGTCCCAACACCGTCAGCAGCCTCTCCCAGGTCCTAACAGTCCCCTTCCCTGCGGAGCACCAGCAGGTCCGCGTGAGCACGGGATTCCCTGCTGGCAGGTGCGATCCCACCTGGGCCAGTCTGGTCTTGTCTGGGAAGGATGAGGTGGGTCTGAGACTGAGGGCTGTGGAGGGGCCGTGTTTGTCCCCCAGCCCAACGGAGCAGGGAAACCTGCTCCACAATGGATGGTTTTTCCTTTTCTTTCTTTCCTGAGACAAGGTCTCACTAAGCCACCCAGGCTAAAGCACAGTGGCGTGATCATAGTTCACTGTAACCTTGAACTGGGCTCAAGTGATCTTCCCGCCTCAGCCTCCTGAGTAGCTGGGACTACAGGCCACGCCACCATGCCCAGCTAATTTTTAAATTTTTTGTGGAAATGGGGTCTCACTATGTTGCCCGGGATGGTCTCAGAACTCCTGGCCTCAAGTGATCCTCCCACCTCAGCCTCCCAAAGTTCTGGGGTTCCCAGCACAGGGTGAGGTTAGAGAGCCATTCCTGCCCGACATGTCGCACCATGCCAGAGAAACTTCCAACGCCACAGGGAACTTAACTGCAATGTTTTGTCTCTGGGAAGACAAAAATCGTTGATGTTCCCCCAATACAGAAACAAAGAGGGTCCCTTTTGGCATAGGTTCCTGGTAGTCTGGCTGTCACCTGAGCACAATGAACTGCCATTAGCACAAGAAGGAAGAGACATAAAGGCGAGCCCTGTGTGGGCCACACTCACCCTCGGGGAGGTCACAGACGTGTCTTCGCCGTCGGAGCAGGTACCACAAGAAGAGCAGGGTGTAGACGGCCGTGGCAAGGCTGCCCGAAGCCCAGATCACGACGTTCCCAAGCAGGTGGATCTGTGCCTGCAAGCGCGGGAGACGCTGTTGGCCGCCTGCCCTCTGCCCAGGGAGGGAAGGGGACCGCCCTACACAAGTTCACATGCACACTCGCTTTAGCAAAGAGTCAAAAATGCCCAAGCACATCCTAGTATTCTCTCGACCGTACTAACATGCATGTCTGTGGACATGGCCGTTCCTAATTAGACCTTTCTAGAAAAGTGCTGACACTCTGCATTTGTAAATGGAAACTGAAAACTGGGGGTGAGATTCACTGTGCAAAGACAGCGTCGTCCGCGGTGGGATAACACGTCTGCACTGGGAGCCCAGGACACACCCCCGGGTTGCACTAAGTACTTGCATTTGATGTGGTGGATCTTGCCACCCACTTCTGAGCGAGGAGGAGACGGGGCACTTCGGTATTCGCTCGCTCAGCGAGTATTTACTGAGCACTATGTGCCAGCCCTAATGACGCTTTTATTCTCCTGCATGAAGACAGACGATACACACACAAGCACTGGTAGGCTCAGCCACTAGGTGCTACGCAGAAAATAAAACAGGAATGTTTTTAGAATAAATCACTTTTGGCTAGGTGCAATGGCTCACCCCGGTAATCCCAGCATTTTGGGAGGCTGAGGGAGGAGGATCACTTGAAGTCAGGAGTTCAAGACAAGCCTGAGCAACAGAGTGAGACCTCCATCTCTAAAAAGTAAAATAAAAACCACTTTTACCAGGAAAAGGGGAACACTGCACTCCAACAAAGGCAATAAAGCCCGGATTTCCTTCAACAGACACGCAGGACTTACTCCCTGGCATCCGACGGAGCACTGGCTCCGTGCGGCCACAGCGTTAGACGAAAGCAAGCCACAGGCCTTCGTCGGGAAAGGCCGCTCTTCCTGGCAGAAGGGGTTCTCACAGAAATCACAGATCTACGGCTGCCTGAGAGCTGCTCACTCACACTGGTCCGGGGGTGCAGCCAGTAGGCGATGTTGGTGTCCAGGGTGACCCACTCCAGCGGGGTGGAGCTGTACTTGTGTTCTGAGTCATCACTTCTCAGCGTCAGCATCTTCCACTGGAACAAAGCAGAGGCCTCTGAGATTCGAGAGGACAGTCGGACGCCTCCAGTCACACGTGGATTTTGTCAAAGGGGGTTGGAAGGAACTGCTGCCCCTCACATAAGAACAGTCCACGTGGACCATGCAACAGAAGCGGCACAGTGAGAAGCTGATTTCTAACCCCAGCTGTGGCCTGGGACAGTCGTCCCACCCCATGGGCTCCAGTCACCTCCTCTGTAGACCACGTGACTGGGCTCAATGCTCTCTAAGGCCACTGTCAGATTCGGGGCTCTCCGAGTTTCTGATTCTGACTTCTCTCAGACTGTGATGTGGAACGTGGCCCATTTCAACACGACCGGGGGCTTGAAGACACCCTGGCCGGGCTGCAATGTCCCGCTGACGCAGACCCTCCCTGTCTCTGACTGTTCCCTACCGCAGAGCCACAAGGAAGGGGCCAGCAGTGTCATACAGTCACTTATGCTGGAGAGAGAAGACACTCCGCGCTGGTGAGCCTGGGGCTCCAGTTTCAAAGCCTGACTCGGGGAAGAACTGTGCAGACCACAGCGCTTTCCTCGGCAAGGTGCCAGCCTCCAGCGAGCAAAGCTGGGCTTCCCTCTGGCCGCGCGTCACCTGCAGTTCTGAGAATCTGGCCATGAAGCTGAGGTTCCTGCTGACGTCGACCTGAGTAGGGGAGTGCAGCTCCAGTTCCCGCTCCTTCTGTTCCTGGCCTGGCAACACAGAGCACAGAAGACGGGAGCAGAACGTCAGGGAGCTCAGAACAGGAGCTGTCAGCGGGGCACAGAGCTGCCCTCCCCGCAGTCCCAGCAGTCCACACCACGCTGCGTCGTTCTGCTCATCCTTCCCCCGTACTCAGCCCCGCCCTCCAAGGCTCAGACTACGCCATTCAGCCCCTTTGGAGGCTTAGCGTGTGCTGGGATGAATTGGTCGCCTTCCAGCGACACCTCAGAGGAAGGATCTTGGGTCGTTATGGCTGCAGGTAAGCGAGGGAGGGACACTACTTGTCACCGAGCACGGACAGTACGGTCGGATCCTGCCTAAACGAGAACCCTGTTTTGGCGTCGTAGTGAACTGCCAAGCGGCTGGGCGTGAGTGTTCTGAAGCAGGGAGGCCACTCACTCTTGCCGTAGCGGTGCTCCTCCACGTTCCAGGCCATGCTCCCGTGGTAGCCCCGGGGCAGCTTCTCCCCGACGACCTCCAACTGCCGGAACCCCCAGTCAGGGAGGTGAGCCCCGCTCAGCTGCGGAAAGCACGGGAGAGAAAAGGGCATGATGGGAAAGCCAAGCGCCACTCCGGCTCCTGCTGGAAGGGCAACCCACCCGGGGCACGGGGCAGCAGATGTCCCCTGCAGGAGCGTCACATCAGGATGCCATCCTGAGAAATTACAGCAACCGCCTCCCTCAGCGCAAATACACACAGCCGGGCCTTAGCCAGGGTCTGCCCGGCGGGAGCCGGCGCGGCCGAGAGCTCACCGACCAGACGGGTTTGCAGCTTACGACGGCCGAGCCACGAGCGGCGCCTTTACCTTCAGGACGGCAGACGTGTTCACGTGCACAAAGCGCACCTCTGACAGGATGGTCTTCCAGACGTCTGTGTCTGATTCTCTGTTTACAATTTCCTGCAAAAACAGACCTTATCGATGATTTCCTTCCTTTCCAAATTTCCTTAAATGTAAAAATAAAGACCAGTCCCCAAACATTAACATTAACTTCGGTCTACGATAAGGGGCCAAGCCCACAGCAAGGAGGTTTCAGGGGGTGGCGAGGGGCTTGTCCCAGATGTTCTTTCTGACTCCCAGGCCACTGTGCTGGTCCGAGGACCGGTGGGAAAGCAAGTCATCCTTGCCACGGCCGCCCGGGAGAAGCTTCCTGATGGGGATGTAAAGAGCTGGCGTTCTCCGAGCGTGTCTGTGGCGCCCGTGCACTGAGAAAGCCCAGTGCTCTGGCCAGGAAGTGAGACTTCCTCAGGCCCGCTCTGGCAGGACTCAAAGGCGGCTCAAACGAAGGTGAGAGACACTGTCCCTAAAGATGCACCATCGGGGGGGGGATTCCTTGTACTGGGTGGTAAGAGAGACAAGTAGCTCTGAAGAGCACTTTGCATCGTCACATCCTAACACACTGGGGCCTTGCGTGGCCCAGTGAGGTCACGTGGCTACTGCTTTTCCCATTTTATTGACAAGAACCAGAGCACCCAGGAAGTGGAGTGGGAGCCAGGAACCCAGGGGCCTGTCCAGGTCCTCCCTGCGGGCTGGGCACCCACTGCCGATGCAGGCTCCTCCGTCTTCGCTCTGCAGACGTCGGTTACTTGAAATGTGGGCGCCTGGTGCCATCGGAAAGGACGGAGGAGGAAGCGGGAGAGGAGAGCAGGGATCAGCAGCGAAGCCGTGGGCACCAAAACGTCAGAAAGGGGGCCAGGCAGAGCGGGCGAGACTCTCCCCAGCACCGGCCTTGGGAGAGCTCCCGGGAGAGCCGGGGTGCGCAGAGCTCACGTCAAGGTGGGCCCCCGGGGAAGATGGAGACACCGAAAGCAAACACGCAGCACACTGAGCAGGCAAGGGGGCAGAGGCGCTGGCTCTGCACAGAGAAGGGGAGCCAGCGGACACCTGGCTTTGCTCGGAGGGCCGGCCGGCGGGCACATGCCACGCACACTCGGGTGGGCTGGTATAGGCGGGTGCCGCTCAGACGCAGAAAGGGGAGCACGACCTTGCATGAAACAGCCCCGCGTGATCACCGTGATCACGGGCAGCAGCTGCACTTGGCTCTCGTGTCCTTAGAGCCACAGAGAAATGGCCCAGTAATGGAACATTTTCTTTACGGAAACTTTCCCAGGAGACCCAGCTCTGTAAGGGAAGCACGTCCCCCCGGCCACTCGGAGGAAAGGTGACCACAGGCCCAGCCACCCTGGGGCCATCCCCCACACCGACGGCCAAGCCTCTGCCCGGGGAAATCTTGAGAACAGGGAACCTGTTAACACCCAGCCCGGGGCTGGCCGCGAGGCGCTTGTCCTCGCATGCTCAGGACCCGTCCTGAGGCTACACAGACCGGGAGGACCTTCGCCCGGCAGAGCCACGTGAGCCCACAGAGCCCAAAATGGAGCAAACACAAAGCACCTAAAATCTCTGAGGAAAATCAGGCCTGACACACAAAACCACTCAGACTCCAAGCTCCACAGAGGAGGACGTGTCTGTTTCTATGAAAACATCTATTTCTTTTTTTCAGAGATAAAGGATCACTCTGTCACCCAGGCTGGAGAGCAGTGGTGTGATCCTGGGCCCTCCCAAGGAGCTGGGACTATAGGCAGGCGCCACAACCCCTGGCTAATTGTTTTTTGTTTTTTTTTTTTAGAGACAGGGTCTTGCTATATTGCCCAGGTTGGTCTCAAACTCCTGGCCTCAAGTGATCCTTCCACCTCAGCCTCCCAAACTGCTGGGATAAACTTACATAATTTTACTCTGAATCAGAACCACTCTAATGGCAGGCCAGGATGACTGTGCCGCAAGCAGCGTCACCAACAGCTGCAACCTGTGCTGGCCACAGCGAGACTCACCAGTCTCCAGAGGTTCTGGGCCGGCATGGAGATGTTGTAGTCAATGTAGCAAGAGACCTCCTGGGAGTGGGGGGTCAGGGGGGCTGCGACGTCATGCCTGAAAACCAACACAAAGCTTTCGCAAGGAATTCTTCAAGCACCTCCGAGAGGCAGTTACCGTTTCCTTAAGGAGGGAAAAAGCCACTTTTCGAAAACAAAGCCAGCTCAGCCTTAGAGGACGCCCTGGTCCCATCAGTCCCCACCACGTGTGGGTGCACCACTGGGGGCCCACGTGCAGGTGCACACCGCTGCGGACTGCACCCATGTGTCTAAAAATAACGTGGGGCAGCACCACCCACTTGCTGGACAAGTGAACCCAGCCTCAGAGGAAGGAATTGCTGCCACAGGACCCTGGCGTGGCACCGCCTCCCTCACTCCAGGACTCAGCAACGCCAGGAGGGAAGAAAACGTTGCCCTCTGTGACAGCAATGTCACTGCTCAGAAACACCCATTTCCTCCTCCTGCGATCACTCAGTAATCATCTTTCCCAAGCCGCGTGTCTGGCACCTTCCAAGAGCTGGCCACCAGCTGCGAACAAAGAGACAAAGCCCTCACGGCACTGGGAAAACAGCCGTCGGCGCTGGCAGACAGCAGCACACAGGCTGTGGGAGGGCCACGGATTAGAACAGGCTTGGGGACAACGCCCAGCGAACGCTTTCGATGAGGTGACACTGCACAGAGGGGGCCCCGGGGGAGCTGAGCCCCAGCACAGCTCAGCAGGGGAGCAGGTGTGAGGGCCCGAGGGGGCCGCGCCGGCCATCTGGGGCTGGGGAGGCTTGGGCGACAACGGGGTCAAGTGTGCCAGGGGCTGCCGGGGGCCTCGGCAGGGGGAGAGCTGAGTGTGACAGGAGCCACCGAGGGCTCTCAGCAGAGAAGCCCCCTGAGTGGGCTGTGGGGAGCAAGGGGGAGGCAGGAAGTCGGGACGCAGGCCCCATGTGGGGTCAGTTCTGAGGGTTCGGACGACATATTTCCTGGTGGTGTAAACAAGGGATGGGAGGAGAATGGTGACGCCTGAGCCCCAGGGCCCTTCCCGGGAGAACCGGACAAGCGGGGCGTGTGAACGCGGAGCTACGGGGAGCGCAGGCCCCCAGGGGAGCCGGGTGTCTGGGAGTGTCTGTGAGACACTGCGGCCGGTGCGGGGAGGACAGGCGGCCTGGGACTGAGCCCTCGTGGGCCGAGAGACAAAGCAGGAGGGCCGCGGGAGAGGCCAGCGAGGGACCAGGACGTCAGGCCGGGCACGGGCGAGAACCCACAGGGAGGAAGCCTCCGCCGCTCCGCTCGTGCCCACACTTCAGTCCTTGCTGAGCTCACTGATCTTTCAGACTCGTAGCGCTGTGCACACGAGCACCCGCGCCTCACTGTCCCCTGCTGCCCAGCCTGGCATCCACGGGCTCCCCGGACACCGGGGTCTCTTGTGGACTGTGCTGGGCTCTGACCCCACGAAGGCTCCACTCCCTGTGGGCCCCTCCCCTCAGCTGCCAGCCCTGAGGTGCCTCCCCACATCTGAGAGCCGCACGGCCCTGCGTGAGCAACACGGGAGCAGCGGCCCGCGGCAGAGCTCACGGTCCGCTCCGCACGGGGCCACAGAGGAAAGCCCCAGCGGCGAGGGAGGATGTGGGTGCTCACGTGTTGAGGAAGCGGGTGGTCATGCCGTGGACCAGCTGCACGACGTCTCCGTGCCGCACGGGTCTCGGGGGGCTGCTCACCACCAGCTGGTGCCTGGGAAGAAACGAGACTGTCGGTGGCACCGAGCCCAGTGCCCTCAAACTGACAGCCGCGCTAAGAGGGCACGCGCCCCAGACACTCACAGCAGACAGCCCGACCCACTGTGGCTCGCGTGAGGCGAGTTCATACACAGCCAAGCACGGGCACTCGATTTAACTCTTTTCTGAAACCTGAGGTCCCTTTCCAAACGTGACTGTCTGTCATTACCAGTCGCTCTGTGCTGCCTAGGAATGCTAAGGTGATAAATACACCGTGGGTGCCGAGAAGTCTTCTCACAGACTCTGGCTCCGTGTTCTCTCCACGGAAAAGCATGGAGAGCCCATCATGTCCCAGACGCCAGGCTGGGGCCTGCTGCCCTCGCGTCCCTGCAGTGAGTGGGACAGACAGATCCCGAGCCAGTGAACCAACAACCGACAGTCAGCAGGTGTTTGACGGCCACGAGACGGCCAGCGGGCCCGACGGAGGAGGAAGGGTGGCGCTGCGGGCGGCCGATGCCTCCCCAGGAGCCGGCCTCCGTGTTTTCGCAGAAGGACCGGCCGGACGGAGGAGCTGGCCCTGCTCCGGAGACGCGCCGCGTTGGCAGGTCGTGCTGTGAGCAGGGCCGCCGGCGGAGCAGGGCAGGGGCTGCCTCGCGCAGGGGCAACGGAAGCTCAGGACGGGGTGTGGGCCAAGAGGGGCCTGCCGCAACCGCACTCAGGGGCTGCGCTGCTCGAGTCGGGAGGGCAGGAGAGGAAGGAAACTGCTGGGGGAGACGGAGATGGGACCTGACTTTTGAGACCTCGTTTGGCGCCAAACCCACGGACTGGATGTAGGGAGTGAGTGCGAGGGAAGCCTGAGCAAGACGACACCATTTTTGAGAGGAGCGAGGAGGAGTCCTCGTTTTTGCAGGGAGGGGGCGGTGCGGTGGGAGAGGGGCACAGGAGGAGTGTCTGGGGCACACCTGTACAAATCCTCAGAGGACGGCGTGAATGCGAAGGTGAGGACAGTCGGCGAGGAAGGGGCATGGACAGAGAAGAGGGCCCGGGACGGAGCCGCAGCACCGCGCCTGGCCAGGCCAAGAGGTGAGCTCCAGGACCCGTACTCACCTCCCAGGATCCTTTACGATCCACCAGTTATTGACGTCTTTGAAGGGGTAACAGGTCACCTGCTGCTGGTGGGAGCTGCCCCGGCCATTCTCGTATCTGTGAAGAAGTCAATTAGAAATGTACCTGGACGTGGGTCAGCGGTCAGGCCGCAGGCCTTTCTCCCAGGGCTTCTGCAGAGGGAAGAGATTTCAACAGATGCTACCCAGCCAAGTGTTTCAGGGGAAACGAAGGAACAACAGACAAGGAGCCTAAACCTAGCGGGGGCCGGGAGACGTGAGGCACAGTGCTGAGTGCAGGCAGAGCCGTGCAGGTGGCGCCAACGGCACGCACGGGGCCTGCCGCACGCCCGGTCCCTCCAGCTGCTCTACACGGGAATCACGAAGCTCAACCACGATCGGCGTCTGAGAGCTCGATCTCCTTCTGTCCTGCAAACTGCCTCATAGAAAATGCAAGTTGCTAAGATCAGCAAAATTATGAAAAAATATCTTCAAATTGAAAAAGTCACTTTCCTTACATCATGGGGTAGGTGCTCTGGTGGGAATGAAGCCAGCAGGGCAAGGGCTTGCCGAAAACGCTCCTCAGAGTGACCTGGGACCCGAAGGCCACTTCCAGGGGCTGGCCTTGGGTGATCCGAGCTAGTCCTCCCTAAGATGAAAGCAGAAAGACAGAAGAGAGGGAGGGAGGGAAGCAAACCTAAACGAGCCTTCCCAGTGGCCACTCCTTCTGGGTGACATTCGGGGTAGCGGCGATTCTCATTATATAATTGGTTATGATATCTATCATCTAATCATGTCTTATTACATCGTACAGTCATAATCAGAGCCACTGCTGACTGAATGGTGCCTCTGGGCAGACACTCGGCTAACCTTCCACTCACACCCTCATCTAGTTCTTACAAGCGTCCTGTGAGGTAAGAGCAGCTATTGTGTCTAAGAGAGGAGAAAACTGGAACTGGGGTAGTTAAGAAATCTGTCCAATCTGGGCGCGGTGGCGCACGCCTGCAATCCTAGGAATTCGGGAGGCCAGGAGTTCTAGACTAGCCCAGGCACGGCCCTGTTAGCCAGGCGTGGTAGTGCATGCCTGTAGTCCCAGCTACTCAGGAGGCTGAGGCAGGAGGATCACTTGGGTCCAGGAGTTCGAGGCTGCAGTGAGCTGTGATCTCACCACTGCACTCCAACCTGGCCACGTCTCTTCAAAGAAAAAGAGCAGAGCAGCCTGCTGATGCCAGGGCCTACGGTCCTGACCACATCAAATGGTACATTTCACTCTGCCAGCAAGTTCACGAGAGTGAACGTCAGGGCCCAGTCTGGCCTACGAGGCATTGGAAACTGCCCAGGGCTTGTAGGACTTGACTTCAAAATGTTCTCACGCAGCGTCAGACTGACAGTATCAGAGAGCTGACTCCTTCATTTATTTCCATACCACCAGGGTCAGAACTCGTTTAGAAATGCTGGCATGGATTCCTCACTGCTTGATTTGGTTTTTCCTCTAACGTTCACTTGCTGATGTTCATGCAAGGAGACTGAGTTTACTGTCATCCTCTTTCCCAGGTGGCTGTGGCATCCGCTTCTTACCTCCAAGCTGGCCTGGAACGCACTGGACATGATCTGGTCGTGGGGCCCTGAGCGGTAGAGCAGAATCAAGTGGACGTAGAAGAACAGCACGTACAGGACGGCTGGGACAACGAGTAGAGCCACTGCCCTGGCAAGCAAGTGGCAGAATACACAGACCTGCCAGAAGATTCGAGGAAACGTCACTTCCTGCTGCGTGGAAAGGCGTGTCCATTTCCAGATGTGGCAGGCTCAGGAAGAGTCAGTGACAGAAACTCCCACACAGAGGCTGCCCATGCCCGTCTGCTTCCGAAGCTTTGAGGGTTCGGGTCTTTCCCCCAAATACTCCTTGTGACACCCTCCACACAGGGGAGCCTAACGCAGCACCTACATTGGACAAGGTCCGGTCACCGATCAGGCGCCAAGCGTGGACGGCCGCGACACCAAGCACCAGCAAGTACGTAAACACGCCCATGTATTTGATGCTGAAGAGACAGGGTTGAAATAAAGTTAGAACGGGACGTGAAACACAAGAGGAAGAGGACACCGCCCCACACCAGTGGCTCAGACTCACCCCACGGCACAGGAACAGGCGACTCCAGTCAGCGTTAGCCAAAACCACCAGCTCAGACAGAAAGGGCTGGAATAAAAACAGAAAAACAGAGCAGACGGAGAAAGGAATGGTTTGCACGAGGTTTCCCACGGGCCAGAGAAATCACACATTTCTTAGAGAAATGTTCCTGGGTTGGGGGCTGCAGCGAGCACCAGGCACAACAAAAAGAACAACCCCCAGCTCCCAAAGCATCAGTCCTGGCAGAATTTTTCTTTTGTTCAGAAAATTTCTGCTGCTAGTTTAAGTTATAGAAAAATGAGGATGCATTTACGAAGTCACGAGCCAAGGGCCAACCCAAAAGTATTAGGTGACCAAAAGATACTTAGCAGGCAGCTCTTCAACATAAAAAGTTCCTAGATCATTTCAGGCCAACAAACCACCCGGAATCTTTTTTCTCATTAACTAGGAAAAATATGTCCCATTTTCCATACCTGTGTTTTTGGGAGTTGGAGAACTTCAAGAAGGACAGCACGGCCAATAGATTAAAAAATATTAACACTGATTCCAAAAGCATCAGCCTTGACTGAGTGATCAGAGCATTCTCTGTTACAAAGACGAGACGTGTGTCAGGTTTACGGGAGCAAGGGCGAAGGCGCGAAGATGAAAAACATGCACAAGAAAAGGCACCCTGAACCGAGACAAACAGCCACCCTCCCGAGTGTCACAGCATGTGAAGGCAGGAAGTCCGGAAATGGGGTGGCTGGAAGGGGACCCGCTCCAGAGCCACGAAGACAAACTCCTAGGTCTGGCTCACACCTACCAACACCTGACAGTATGAACTGAGCAAATCACTTAACTTTTCTGAGTTTTTATTTTTCTTGCTTGCAGAAGGAATACCGACTCCTTAGGGCTGCCGTAAACAGTAAGGCATTGGAAAGGCACAGGGCCTCATACAGCGTTGTCACTCGATAAATAATCTTTTTTTATTTTCTAGTCTAACTTTTCATCTGATTTAATTTCATCTGTTCATAAACCTGAGCGGAAAGATCCTTTCTGAAGAGTACCTATTAACTCAAAGGTCCATCTCAATCGGCTGAGGCCTGGGAGGTGGTGGACCGGCCAGGGGAAGCTGTCATTAGGTGACGAGCTTGGTCGGAGACGGAGCACTCAAGGTGTGCGTGTACCCTGTCTGTGCAGCGCCCCACCCCCCACCTCCACTACCGATCAGAGTCTGATCACACAGTTCAGCAGCCCCATAGCCAAGGGGGCGGCCTGGGAGCGGGTGACCCAGAGAGTCAAATCTGGATGAACCAGAAGTACTTCCTAGTGCAGCACACCCACCAACCCACGAGCTCTCCTGGGCCTCACGATGAAATGTACAAAGGCTTAGTTCTTGCCTGAACGACACCAAGAGGAGGCAGGGGCCCGGGTCTTACCGATGAGCATCAACAGAGCAGCTCCCATGGCAGCACAGTGAGAAAAGTGGAGCTCTGACACTATCTGGTAGGCCATGGGGACCGACAAGGCCCCTGCGAGTGCTGGCAGCAGGCGCAAGGACCACACGGGCACGTTGCTACTGTATTCTGGAAAAGCAACCACACAGCAAAGCTGAGAGCACTGTGCACACACCCTCTCCATAAACTGCAGGTGTGTTTTCAGAGTGTCATGTTCACAGACTCTAAGACAAACGTTTACAAAAGGGGACCACATCAGCAAGTGAGTGTGCAAGCTATGGGTGAAGGCTTTGAAATTAGCTTTACAGAGTCAATGAACCGGCTCCCACTAAACACAGGAAAGATGACTAAGAATTCTGAAATTATTGTTTTGCTTAATTACCAATTTACCCCACCTATTTCCAAAAACATTGTGGCAATATACAAAATTTACAGGTACGAAAGGTAACTGCAATCAGATACTACATGATACATGTACCAAAAACCAGGGAAAAAATAATTACTGCAACTAAACACTGAGATTTTTACCAGACTTCTCCGAAGTCCAGCACTTATACCCAAATAATTTATTATACCCTGGACTCAGATCAATCAGCCACAGTTGTTAATCCCTGTGAAAGCTGCTATCTCTCCATTCTCACACGTGCACATGAATAAGGAAAATGAAAATTATCTTTTACCTGCTCCAATTCTGTTCCACAAAAAGTTACCATCAAATCCTCCCAAGTAACCTAAAACAGAGGATTAATCAGTAACTATCCCATTCGGCAAATATTTCTGCAGTACTATGGCAAGCAATACGGAAACAAATAAATAATAAGGCATGCTTTCTGCCATTAAGAAATTCACTGATAAGTTTTAGATGTATTTGAGGACCTGAAAGGCAATGGCTACTTCTCATACTCACGAATCCTACCTCCCAGGGCCAGCAGCATGTGGCCAAATGGTGGTCCACTGTCATCCAAGAAGAAGACTCGTTTCATGTAAAAAGAGATATATTGCCCATAATATACTTCATCAAAACTGAAAAAAAAAACAAAACACATTACATTCGATTAAAAATCTTTTTTTTTTTTTCCAGATGGGGTCTCACTCTGTTGCCCAGGGTAGAAGTACAGTGGTGCGATCACAGCTTACTACAGCCTCGAACTCCTGGACCCAAGTGATCCTCATGCCTCAACCTCCCAAGTAGCTGGGATTACCACACCTGGCTAATTTTTTATTTTTTATAGAAACAGGGCCTCACTATGTTACCCAGGCTGGTCTTGAACTCTTGGCCTCAAGCAATCCTCCCACCTTTGCCTCTCAAAGCGTTAGATTACAGGCGTGAGCCACCGTGCCCAGTCCAGAAATCTTAACTGTAGACAAAAGGCTGAGGATAAACGTACGTGTGCTTCCAAACAACTTTAGGTGAGTGATCAGCAAAGGTCAGACCTTTTGCCCCAATTGTATCCCATCCCCAAATACTAAGACACACACACAACATCATCCATCCACAGGGACAGAGGTGGAAAATTCACCAAGCACGGCTGGCACCCAAGATGTTTGCCCAAATAGATTCTTACTTCTCTCCCCAGTTTCGATTTAGCTGTGCATCACTGGCCAACCTGCCAAAAGGCCTCGCAACACGAGGCTCGTTCCCCACCCCACTCCCCAGGGCCGCGAGCACATGTCTGTGGCTGTGATTCAGAATCAGACCTGGTGACCCAATGGTCACCACGCAGTTGCAAGTGTGAAAGGAATGTAGGAACAACTGCAATAAAACATTTTCAGACAATCTGGGAAATCATGGTATCAAGGAACTGCTGTCAATTTCTCAGCCACGATAATGCTACTATGGTTATGTGATTTTTGATTTTAAGAACCCTTATCTTTGAGAGCTAGATACTGAATTATTTATGAATGAAGTACGTCTAGGATTTGCATCAAAATAATTCATTGCAGGGAGCAGGGTGGCTATGAACTGATAATTGTTGAAGCTGGGTAATAAATATACTGGTGCCAGGGGTCATTTTACTATTCTCTTTACTTTTGTGTATGTTTGATGCTTCCCATAATAAAAGGTTAAACAAAAAAGAACACGTATATTAATCAGTTAATAAACAGCCCTTCAAAAATAACAGCAAACATTTCCCATTATGACAAAAAACACGCTTTGAGTGCTCTAAATGATGAAGACTTGCTTTCCAATCCATCAATCCTCTGCCTTCCGATTTTAAAATGGTTTCCTAAGGCTGCTAAACAGATTTTCCTCTACTGCACCCTTTTAATGGGCCAAGTTTTACCCTGACACAGACCTATAAGGCAAGATCTAAAAGGTCTACTGGGGAAAAACCCCTCTCTCCTCTCACTGCCAAAAACATCCATCACCAAGAAGCCCAGAATTTCAGTTTCCTATTTACACTGTTCAATGAAGGCACTTTGTGTCACAGACACCACAACTGTCGATTGGCCCTAAGAATGGGGTTGTTTGGCTTACACCACGGCCCGAGGGTAGGTGAGTCGCCACAGCCGGCTCAGCAACCCCACCCCGGTCAGAACCACAACGTTCAAGTTGATGTCAGTGGTCATCACTATAGGGCGCTTCAAAAATCCCAACATCTTGCAGGCTCAGGAGGATGCCCTAGAAAAGAAGTGAAGAACCGTCACAATAAAGGGTGGCAGCCCTAAAGGGCTCACAGGAGGCTACAAAAATAGTACTAAACCGCCATGGCTCCCAGACGCACGCAGGGAGAACCACAGCACGTGGGGCTACTAAGAAAGTCAGAGAAGCTCACGGAGCAGCCATACTGGAATGTGACTGCACCTTTCACCACAAAGGTTTACGCAAAGGCATTTGGGGTAGGAGGCAGGGCGCTAGGAATCTCAGTACTGGACGTTCGCTCCTTCCAACGACTCATTCCACAGGCACCTGCTGAGCACCTCCTGGAGTGAGGCGCCTGTTACTGAATGTCCCAGCTTCTCCCCATCCCTCCCCAACCGCCAGCCGGGCAGTGCAGCCACAAGCTACTCTGACTTCGGGCAGCTCTTGGGGTGCCATCGCAGCTGCTTACAGCCCAGTGACCTCAACCTCCCTGAGCCTCAGAGCCTCATCTCTTCTCAGATACATCTGCCCCCAAGCGCCTTCCTCCCCTCCCTCAGTGGCACATCAACCCCTGGGTGCTCCTTTCCTTGCCTGGAGGATGCATTTACACCCATTCTCTCCCCCGGGCCTTATCTTTCCTTGAGCTCCGCCTCTCTTGGGACTGCATCTGCTTGGGGGTCCCTTCCTCACACCAAGGCTGCACCCGGCCTTGGGTGTGCACCCCCTTCTCCTCCCAGGGCTGCATCTGCCTTGGAGGGCCCCCTTCCCGCCCTGAGCACCCCCTTCCCTCCCGAGACCTCATCTGTCCTGGGAGTCCCTCCTCCACTCTTCCAACTTGCATCTCCCTGGCCTGCCCCTCTCCCCACAGGCTGCGCTGTGCCCGCCACCCTCTTTCCCGAGGCCGCACCTCCCGGGCCCCGCCCCGCTCGGAGGGACCCAGACGCCGGGCCCCAGCCCGTCCGCAGGCTGCGCAAGCGCGTCCCTCACTGACGTACTCTAACGTTAGAGTCGGGGCTGCGCTCCCGACCCGGTGCCCCGAAACATACTCGGGTTTCTCCAAATCGCGGGAGAGCTGCTCCCCGCGTCCGGCAACGCCCTGGAGCCGGCTTGCGGGCCGGCGGTTGGGGGCGAGGCCTCTCGGCTCGGCACTCTACACCGCGTACCGCCCCGCTCGACGTTCGATTCACCGCACCTGCGGGGCCCGCCGGGCTGTAGCGGCGCGCGTGCGCTCCGGAGGAGAGGCGGGGCTGGGCGAAGGGCGGCGCGCGTGCGCTGCGGGGCCGAGAAGGCGGCCAGTCCGCGGAACCGGGCTGAGGGGTACGAAACGCGAGGACCCGGCCCTCCGTGGGACGTTACTGGCGGCTTGGGCGTCCCGGGTTTCTGCGTCCTCTGAGCAGGCGTGCACCTCTTTAAACAGCGGCCGCCGTCCCGATGCTCCCTGCTTTCTCCTCCGCCCGTTTGCGCCGCGTTTTCCTCGTTTCCGTGGAGCCGTGTCTCGCTCCGTCGCCGCGCTGGAGCCGGGCTGCTCTAGGGCGCGACGCCGCCGCCCACTTCCTCGCTGACACGCGGCTGCGCTCGCACACGCCTCCTGCCGGCGGAGCAGGGGCAGCGCCCGGGCACGGACGTGGGTGGCGAACAGCACCGCTGGGGGACGCCCGGGGACCCCGCCGGGCCGCGCCATTGCAGGACCACGTGGGGCTCCGGCCGGGCTTCTCCCCTTCGCGCCGCGCGGGCGAAGCCTCGAGGCTCCGGCTTCCCTTCCCGAGGCTCCTGTTCGTGCCCCGGCCTCTCCAAAGGCCCGCTGGACATTTGCTGGACGCTGTCCTTCCCACGTTTTCCCGGGACGGGGGACAGCCGACAGCGACACGACTGTTGATGGACCACTCTCTCATCGAGCTCATCCCCACTTGATCCCCTAGTCTACTTGTATGTTAAAAGGACACTACAGATTTAATAACCTGAATTACTCTTTACCGCTTGCGAAGATTTTTTTTCACCTTGGCCAACCCAGCATTAGATGACACCGGTTAAGAATGTAGTGAAGGTGAATTTTTTCTGGCTTGCCCATGAGGGGTTGTGTGACTCGCCCAAGATCCTTCAGGAGCTGGGCAGAAAGGGCTCCCTGGGCCCTGGGAGGGAGTGGGGCAGGGCTTTGCTTTGGCCTGCGCCCTGCAAGCAGTGATGGTGCTTTGGAGTCAGCGCCTCCGTCCTGCGGGCACTCACTCACCCTCAGGGCCAGCCGCTTCTGAGGCCTTGTGAACCACTTGTCCCTGGGGGCAGTGAATCTGGACAATGGGTTATGGCTGGTTAGAGCTGACAGATCCCCAGCTCTTCCATAGTCAAGAGGCTCAGCATCTGAGGGATTGGAGTTCTTCATGGGAAGTGTTTTATTAATACTTTCTTGGCGTAATGTCTAGATTTTCTTACCTGGCTCTAGGCACTAGGCTAAATGCTACCAGTGACCTTTTGAGAATCTATACTACCCAGCGAGGCAGGTAGCATTACAACCAGATGGTGAAATGTCTTTCCCAAGGCCACACAGCTAGGCGGTGGCGGAGCTGAGAGTTTACTGCCTTAACTCCAGTCTAAACTTTATTCTTGCCCTTTTTTTCTCCCTTTGCTGCGGCAGTGGGTCTGGTCGTCATCTGTGGCATATGTATCATGCTTTAAACCTATATCTTGCTCTTGCCCTATAATCCTATTTTTCTCTCATCAATAAGCCTCATTTTCTTGCCTGCCTTAAAAAAATAAACTTTATTTTTGTATCTGGGCTCTCCGGCTAAAAAAAGAAAAAAAATACTTCTGCTGCTGAGTCATCATAGTTCAATACAACTTCAAACTCCTGGGCTCAAGCAATCCCCCCGTTTTGGTCTCCTGAGTACCTAGGACTACAGGCATGTATCACCATGCTTCACTAATTGTTTTTTGGTAGAGATAGGGTCTTGCTGTGTTGCCCAGGCTGGTCTCAAACTCCTGGCCTCAAGTGATCCTCCCCCCTCAGCCTCCCAAAGTGCTGGGATGACAAGCATTAGCCACCGTGCCCAGCCTCCAATCTAAACTCTTGATCCTTCGCTGCCCCAGGCCTAGCTTGCTCCTTCCCCACCTCAAAGCGCAGCACAACCCTCTCCTACTGCCTGCAAAAGGTCCACTAGTGGCAACACAACATGGGATTGAAACCTGTGGTTAAGGTACATCTTCCAGCCAAGCCACGGCAGCATCTAGCAGTCCGCAACCTCTTCCCCATGGCTAGCATCTCAGGCGTGCACATTATCTGCCGGCCGTCTCCCCATAATGCTTTCTGAAGGCATTTCACCAAGCCACTCCTAATTTCTGTGCGACGTGTTCATAAAATTACACCTCTTCCACCTGTAGGTCTCTCCAGTCAATGACTGAGAAACTAGGGACACACAACCTGAGAAAGCATGTTCAGCTTTATTTTTTTTTACTTTTTTTATTTAAATAAGGAGAATTCTTTCATATGGAAAGAGCTAGTACAATCACATATTTGAAAGGAGAAACAATAGGTACTGAACCGGAGGGAAAAGGCGCAGGGTGAGTGTGCCAGCACCGCCTGGTGAATCCGTGATTCCACTTCCCATTCAAGGTAAGTTTCCCCAAAAATAACGTATAAACAAGTTGCACATTACACCTTTAGCCATCGTCTGCCCTTTCAAATATCTGGTCTACATGAAAAGACAAAGGAAAGGCAAAAATAAAAATGAAAGGAAACAAAAACAAAACACAACCCTCTCAAGAACAAAACCAACCCCCAAGTCCTTTTTACTACGCAAGGCATGAGGTCAAAAGCTTAGAGTCCAGTGTCCCCTTTGAACAACGGAAGAAAGTCTTAACACAGAGCCTTGACAGGAACTTCCACCCAGAGGCTTCCTAGCATGCTGAGGACAGCGCCCCGGGGGATGCTGCTACTATCTCGGAGGCCACCAAACCAGGGCGGAGGACGCTGAACGGGTCCCCTGCACCTGGAAGATCAGTACCCAAACCCACACTGGTGGCCGTGGGGGAGCATGGCCAGGTGACACGGTGTCCATCCCCAACACTGAGCCACTCCTGTCCCGGATGACCCATTTGTCTTAGGTCCATCTCACATTCCGGAGGAGAGCTGGCTTTCTGGAAGTCTGCTTTCCTTGTTCATCACAGAACGTGACGAAGCACACACTCTGGTATCCTTGGTTGTCAAAGGCCATTTACAACAGACCCTCTAACCCAGGCTTGCTCTGCAAGAAGTGAAAAGGGACAATGATTTGAGGGGCAACATGCAGCTACTTTGTAGAGGGGAACCCAACGGTGGGGAGAAGGAGCTTTACCACAGTGGCCACACACTGCCTCAGTGGGCCAGTTCACAACATGGCTGTGCGTGTGCACACAGCCTCCTTGACTCTGAGCATCCGTCAGTGACAAACATCATCACTGACCATCCAAAAGGCAGATCCAGAAGACAGGAGGGCGATGGCATAGCTGGAGAGGACCCACATCAGTATTCAACAAGATGACCCAATATCCTCAGAAGTGGCTGGAATGACCACAGCTTGGAATTGAATGGATTTTTCTTACTACGTCATAAAGTCATCCTTTGTCTTCCCCCTTAAGGAACCCAGAGCCAGATATGTTCTTTGAATTCCAAGTTGGAAACCAGTAATAACATGAATAAAAAGGGGGGAAGCAACAGTTAAGCAAACCAGGCCAATCGCAGCTGACACAGGCATCTCAAGAGGGTGGGCAAGGCCTTTCCGACACGCCCCACGCTCCGAACTCACTCTCAAGAACAAAACACTACTGACTGCCAGGGCACTGGCTGCACCACTGATGGCCCAGGCAATGCCACCAGCAACAGGAAGGTGGCATGAGCAGGCACAGGGAGGGGATTCCGGCCCCCCACACCCCCAGCCCTGCAGCAGCGAAGTGCTGGTCTTCACTTTTCCCGCCAAGGCCCCACGGCAGCCTGGCGGAAGCCCCTGCATGTATCTGTTCTCTGAGGATGGGGGTTTGGAAATGAAGTAAGATCCGAAGTCCTACTACCTTGAGCTTGGCTCTAAAACCATGTAAAAGGAAGAAATATTGCACCTTAAAACGTCTCTGCACTAAAAACTGCATTTAATCAGACCAAGGAAGGAGTTGGGATATCCGGAGGCTTGAGGCCTGCCCTCTGCCCCCATAGAGTCAAATTTAAAATCTGCATCTCAGTGGGGAAGAGACTGCAGCTCGGGTCACACAGAGGTGGTGAATGCGCTGAACTTCACATGCAATTTCCTGGCCTTTCCCACACAGAATTAATTCAGACATTATATATAAACAGAGCAGTGAAACATTTACTTTTTTTCACCTAGACCTACAACATCAATACATATAAATAAATTCTAGTGTTTTTTGTCTTTATTTGGGGTGGGAGGAGGAGGATGGAGGGAACCATGGGGTAAGAGAAGAGGGCTAGAGAAAAGGTGACCTTTTTGTTTTTATTTTTCCCAAAGAGCAAGTAGTCATTCCGGCGGCAGGTTCACCTGAAGGACACGTCTTGGTTTGTAACGGCATCTGGGACTGTTCTGTTCAATCTTAACATGAGGAAACTTCTTTTTCTTTTGACAGATGATGCGACCAGCATTAGGTGTGAGGGGTCTGGCTGCGTTTCCCGAGCGTGCAGGCAGAGGTGAGCTGTGTGGCTCCCGCAGACCAGACTGACCCAGGGACGGCTTGGTTTGGAGGCAGGTTGGGCAGAGGACTCATCCCAGGCCCCGACCAGACGCTTGCAGGGGAGGAGAAAACCCAGATGAGGGCGCAGGCAGGTGCTGGGGGCTTCTCAGGTGGGCAGAAGGGGCTGGAGAGCAAAGACTCAGGGGATGGAGAAGAAGAGACGTGCGGTCAGGGCAAGGCAGGAAGGGGGGCCGCTGAGAGGTACAGATGAAACCAAACGTGAGCATCTTGCAATGAAATGGCCCCAGCCAGATGGCTCCGGGGATGACACCCTGGCACTGCTTGGGAGGAGGCTGTTACTCCACCTCCTTAGAATCACAAAGAGCGACAGGAAGTTACTTCAGCAGTTCCTAAGATGCTGCTTTCCATATGCTACACTAGACACGGAGCTTAGGACCCAAAGCCCGAAAGCTGTCACACACCCACAGTGACGCCAAGGGCAGGCTCTCCGCAGGCCCCTCCCGCCTGCCTCCTCACCACACATTCTCCAAGCCGGGTCTCCTCTGGAACTAACAGTGGTGGCAGTTAGGTGGCTGGCTGGTCAGTGACCCTACAGGGCATCCGAGAAGCTTGACATTTCCCCTTCCCTTTCCTTGGAATGACGCAATCTGGGATGATTTCCTTCTGTTTCTTATTTAAAAACCACCACCAAAAGCCCAGCGTAGAAAGTCTCACACAAACATTCTGCTGGAGGTGGCTCTGCAGTCTTCCGCCGCTGTCCGTTCTGAGGCTCCCAGGCTGCTGCGGAACTAGTCAGCCCCGCAACGCACGCTCCCCTCGGACGCCGCTCGGCAGGCTGTAAGGACAAGCGCGACTGACGCCTGCTGCTCAGCGCCGGTCCGCGCCGGGAACGAAGACGGAGAACGAGGAGAAAAACACCCAGCGGCCTTACTTAGGGACCACGAGCCTTTGCTGCTGAGTTGACCAAACAATGTCACTGTGTGGTTCAGTGAAAAGCTGCTGAGAGGTGGAGAGACAGGGACCCCGGGGAGAAAGCAGCAGGCTCCAGAAGGCAAGGAAAGGAAATGACACACTAGGGAAGGCTTCGAGGGAAGGGCGTGCGTGTGAAAACACAGCAACCTTGAGGATGGGGCGAGGAGCCCCAGAAACAGAGCACAGCGATGGGGCCTGTGGCGCATCAGCTCACCCCGTCCAGGCCAATCTGGAAAACACCAGTGACTCCATGATTCGTCTCTGGTGCCCAGTGGCCAGCACATCCACTAGCTTTAGAAGAGCCCGGGACAGGAATCCTGTGTAATTCTAAACCATCGCCAACTTCCTAGGGCTGCCTGAATCCCCCTGGGCCCACCAGGCCAGGAGCTGGAACCTGACTGAGACACCGCCTACCTGCTGCTGTTCACCGGCCGCGTCCGCAGCGGGCAGCTGAACACGAGGGGGCTCGTGACCAGTGCCCTAAATAACCTCAAAGGTTACCCAGCTGACAGGGAGCAGGAAGGGACACGTTCTTAAGAGTCATCTCTTAAGGTGAAAGAAACCGCTAGAGATGGAAGGGGAGGGAGACGACGGCGAAGAATGTATAAAAGTTTAGCTATACAGATGTAGCTTGCGTTTCTGTTTTCTTTTCCTTTCCCCTGTGTAAAAACCTTGGCTGCTTTTTAAAACAAAAAGCCTCAAACTAAAACGACCCTGCTGCCAAACCGCTGTGCTAGGGATGGGGCAGCGGGCCGGAAGCACTGCGGCAAAGGCGCCCTGGCGGCAGGATGGGGCAGGCGGCGGGGAGGGGCTGCGCTCCACGGTCACGGTGGGAGGAGGACACAGGAATGAAGGAGTCATTTGCTTGTTTGTTTCGTATCAAAGCAAGCGGGTCAATGCCATAGATCCACGGGTGCAAGCTGGTTGACAAGAGAGCTTTCGGGAGCGGAGAAGAGAAGGGAGAGCTCTCAGTCCGGGCCAGGCGGTTGGACGGTGGACCTAGTGAGGCTCCCGGGTGCCGGCTGTGTTGAGGCCGAGTGGTGGCACCGTCCCCAGCGGGGTGAGGCAAGGTGGCAGCCAGGCAGCTTCAGGCCTTACTCTCCTCCACTTTGACCGCCCGAGGCTTGATTGCTCCAGTTCGCTTCATCTGGGAGGCGGCCGAGGGGGCCTCCTGCAGCTTCACGGCTCCCAGGCTGGGCTTGTCATCCACTCGTTGTTTTGCCTTTGGACAGATGAACAGGAAAAAGAAAGTGACCCTAAGGCAGAAACGCCTGTTTGGATACCTAGTTCCCACAACTCCCTTTCTGCTCCCGAGCTGCAGAGGAAGGCTACCCTCAGCAGTCCATGCCTTGGCTGACGGACCAGACGCAGAAGCCACTCTCCCAGTAAGGAAAGTGGCTGCTCTGTCTCTGTCCCCTCTGTGGGCACTGAGTGCAGTGATTCGGAGAGGCAGGAAGACACTGGGTCCTCCGCAAAGAATTCAGCAATGGCACACCCCGGGGTGGAAGCATGTCTGGTCCCAAGGCTGACTGGAAGAACCTTTTCAAATCAGTGCACCCCATGCCCCGCAGGCAAAAAAGCCCCTTCACGTAGATCCAAGTGCATGCTGCAAGTCTTGGAGCCCCCAGCTGTGTGCTGAGGGCGGGATGGGGCCTCTAGGCAGAGCTGCTTCTCCAAGATCTCTGGCCAGGATTCAGCCAAGCCCACACCCTCCAACTCCCACTGTATGAAACCTTTCCCTGGGGCCCTCGTTTGACCTTGAGATTCCCAATCGCCCTCCATGGTCTATGGCTCTGCACAGAGAAAAGTCACAGAGTTCTGGAAGAAAGCTTAGAAACTCATTCCATACAGTTCAGCTAGGGACCCGAGGGGAGCCCAGCATGGAGGAGTGTAACAGAGCAATCGACCCCCCCACCTGCACCAGCCAGTCACGCTGACTCCACTGAACACCCCGCACACGTTTTAGAGCAACAGTGAAGACAATAGTGCCTGCAGGAAAAGACACTGAGAAGTCCTATTTATTATAAAATAGGAAAACTGAACTTCCCCTGTGATCCCACCCAGCCAAGACACAGACGAGACACATCACACACCAGAGTCAGCGCGCGCCCCCCACCCAGCTTCTACAGCTAACCCGCAGACCTGACCAAGTCTCCCAGAGACCTGCACAGCCCCAAATGGCTAGGGACAGTACACCTTCTGGCGTCACCTCCTCAGAGGAATCAGTATCCTCCCTTCTCTGCAGGACAAGGAAGGATCCAGATGCCCGTCAAGAGGAGCAATGCCTTTGCAGGAGGGACTCAGGCTGCCCGGCTCCCGGTTCCATGCTCGAACCGCTAGGGCATGTCTCTCTTTACACAAGGAGCACTCAAATAGGTGAGTCCCTCCCCTTTTGGCGTTTGGAGACGGGCCTAAGTGTCCAGGGCTGAAGGGTCTGGAAAGCCATCTTCTACCTGTTGAACGTAGTGTCCCTGCACAGAGCCCATGTTAACTGCTGATCCAGAGGGCTTCCCACTGGGGCTAGCAGAGCTAGGCCTGAAAAAACCAAAGGCAGCGGTTGAGAATACACAACGTGTCACCACAGAAATGGAGTCAAAGCCTAGCACAGGGAGGCGGCAGGAGGAAGGAAGGGCCCTTTGGCCAAAGACCTCGCTCTGGGCAGTCCGTAGACCTCTCGGATGGAAAAAACCAGAGACCTAAGGCAGCCAAGAAAGCGGAAGTGGGGAGAGGGTGGGGGTCGCTGTCCACCCGGCACCTCCCCGACAGAGCTCAAGGAAGAGAGGGGCTGAGGCCCCTGCTACAGGCAGACACCTCCGTCCTGCTACGGAGAGATGGACACCGACCACCTCGGGTTCGGAGGGTCTGGACCAAAATGGTGCAGGCCCCAGACAAAACGGTCGACAAGCCTGATACTGAGCAAGAACTGTGCTGAGTATTTGTGTAGTCTCCACTTTAAGAGGGGGCAGGGGAACAAAAATGTATAATATGGTTCTAAACGTGTTCCACTGACTACTGGTTAGTTCCCGGGGATGTTAATTAGGTGCTACATGAGAAAAAGACTCCGTGGTCAAAATGCCTGCGTGCTGTGTGCACAGGGTCGAACAGGACTCTCAACTCACTCCCCAACAGGCCACCTCGGATGCCGCACACCCCAACTACCTAACCGGGAGCCCTTTCTTGCAGGGTGTGGCTCTGCAGCTCTGTTTCCAGAAAACTTTGGGAAACACTGCTTTATAGAATGACACCAATTTCCCCAGGCCCCCAAACACCATCAGAACAAAGCCTACTAGTTAAGACATATTTTCTAAATATCCTCCGAAGAACGATCTTCTGCCATTCCTACAACTAAACGGGCACAGGCAACTCTTGTCGCGTGAGCTTCCGTTTTCTGGGTTTTGCCTCTTTGAGGAAGGCTCTGTAGCCAGATGCTGCTAGAATCTGCCACGGCAGCAGGGACCACAGCATCCGTTCATACCTGGAGCTCCTTTCTTTCCAATCATACTGTTCGGTGCTGCCCTCGTCTAACTTTTTTATATAGTTCTAATGTTTTGGCCTATGTGAAAAACATGGTAGGAAAACAAAACATACCAACAAAAATAAATGAAGCCAAAAGAGAAAATAAGATCAGAAAATTAGATGAAATGGGGAAAACCCCTTTCTCTGGAAAGGAAGCTGGATGCGCAGAATGCCGTGACAGAGGAAGACGGGCTGACAGAGCAACAGGGCAGAGTGACCGCAGCAAGAGCGAGCCGGGACAAAGGGGACCTGCCTGTGGAGTGCTTCCCCGTGGGCAAGGACCTGCGTGTTCGCGGAGTGCCCCGCGGTGCCTGGAGTAACGGTGCTAACCTCTCACAGGGCTCTGCAGGTCGCGTGTGTCTGTTCCACGCACTTGCAAACACAAGGGTATCTCCAGGAACCTCCCACATGTAACAAGAGTCAGCTGGACCAGAGCACATCCCAGCAGGGGTGAAAAAGCCAGACCAGGTCTCCCACTATAACCCGACAGAGCCGCCTCTGACCCAGCTAAGGGGACCTGGGGCAGTTCCTGGACACTGAGACAGACACAAAGGAGGCAAAAAGAGGGTGCCAGTTTATGGTGTGGCAGGAATGGCCCCGAGACCCAGCAGTAACAAGTCCCTTGGTAGGGGGCAGAGGGCGGGCTAAGATGAAGGAGACCGTGGGAAAGGCCAGACGCCACCTCCTTCGCTAGTGGGTCCTGTTTCTAAAAATCTGGTGAGAGAGTTTTATGTAGTCAGGGTTGGTCCTGTTGTCTATTAAAACATTAGCCAATCCTTTTCCTGCCTTTCCAGAAAGCTCCCCAACCCAGAGCATCTTATAATGATGATTAAAAACAAAACCACTCTCTGATTCACCATTTTAATCATGGTTAACTAAAACACAAGTGTGTCCCAGCACTGAAAGTCATGGTGACACATCAGCCTACAAAGGGGACCAGGACTCGGTGCCCTTCAAACCACTCTCCCAGGGCCCACGGAATCTTCTGGGCCACATCACCAGCAAATGCTCAGCTACTTGGCATTCAACCCCCAGGGAATGTCTTTACCTGTAGGTCTGTGATGATGGTACGGGGCCTCCTGTAGGAACATTCTGTTTACTGTCAGCAAAGTGGAAGCCTTTCATCTCCATCTGAGAGGACTAGAGAGACCAAGCAGTAACAAGCCGTCATGTGACGGTCCCGGAGACAGCCCAGCCTTCGCTGCCCCACCCTGGGCGCCACGGCCCAGGACAACTTCCAGGGAGGCATCTTCTAGAGGAGTTTGCAAGCCCCTCCCTTCCAATCCAGACTCGAAAGAGGGCTTTTCCTTACAAGGAGGAAGCATCGCAATATTTTTTTCCTTTTTAAAGTGAGGTGGGAGAGCTGACCGTGCACGTCTAGGACACACAACTGCGACGGCCTTGCACGTGGCCTCGGCCAACCCCAAGGAACACTTGTGCGCACCCTCCTCCCGCCCTGGCGGTCTTGCACATGCCCAAGCCTGTGTACGTCACTACCTTACACAGCAACCGAGGAGTTTCCGAGCCTTGGGATTCCAAGGACTTTGTAGTGTGGGAAAGCAGTGGTCTGGTGAGGCCCAGAGCCTGGGTCCCAAGCCACTGTCACTTTCCACCACACAAGGGTCCCAGCTTGCTAGAACAGGGCTGGTGAGACAAAGGTCCCGCCCCAGGATCACCGGTGGTTGGGGCACCTTTACCTCTCTGCTGGTGTTCAGGACGGGCGGCTGGGACCCGGGCGGAGGAATCCTTCGGGGAGCCCCAACGGAGAGGCTCTGCCCTGGCGGCAGCTGAATGGACTGGGGCAGGATCAGAGGCTGTTGCCCGGAGCCGTATCGAGGCAGTGGCATGGTCAGCTGCTGGGCGACAGGGACAGTCAGGCAGAGGAATGGACGCTGAGGAGAAAGCCTAAAACACGCACCCAGCAGTGACCACACATACACCTCAGATTCCTACTTTAAAAGAATGAAAGCACGGCCTGCACATGACAGTCAGGATTCTGAATGTCTACTCTGTCCACAGCGGAGACTGCCCAGGTTGTACGCTGTGGATGGCAGAGGGCAGATCTGGCTGGAGTGTCACAGGTGGTGAGAAAACAGGCGGACTAAGCTGGCTGCAGTCATAGGAGGTAATGGTGTAAGATGTGTCTCCTTGACATCTCTGAAAAAGGCTGTACCTCAGCCCCTTCTGCCTCCGTCCGAGTGTTTGCTGAAGCACAGATGGTGGCAGGGAAGCCGCAGGGCAGTCAAACACAGGCGTGGGCAATGCAGGGCAGCGTGTGACATGCGGATACAGCTGCAGGGTGCCCAGAGCAGCAACAAACCCCATGTACGTGCGTGTGCCTGAGTGTGCATGTGTGCGTGCTGGGCAGGGTGGGCGAGGAGAGAACGAGTTAGCGGAGTCAGGACGCTTTTGGGAAGTAATGGCCAAGCCAAGTCCCAACAGATGAAGCTGCTCAGCATGCCTATCTTTGTATTCCTTTGTGCAGCACAAAAATGCAGGACTCTTTTACTGTTCTGCGTCCATAGTGGTAGAAAACAGGCCCAGCTGGACTCTGGGATGTGCCGGCCCCTGGAAGCGTGATGTGACAGGAGGAGGGTGGCCGCAAGGCCTGACCAACCACAACAAGGGCAATGGGGGAGGTCGGCCTGGAGACTCTCAGGACAAGGGGACAGAAAGGCCCCTTTGTTTTTCTGAGACAAGCTCTTCTTGCTCTGTTGTCCAGGCTGCAGTGCGGTGGTGCAATCATAGCTCACTGCAGCTTCCAACTCCCAGGCTCAAGCAACCCTCCCACCTCAGCCTCCCAAGTGCTGGGATTACAGGCATGAGCCACCGTGCCTGGTGGAGGCACCACTTTTGGTCTCTCAGTCACTGTCCTCTTCATCTCCCTGCTATCGAGTCCACAGTGGAGGGTCAGAAGGATCTATTGGAAGTACATCACTGAGACTGGTGGTGGCTGGAGCCTCAGATGCCAGGCTCGGTGCAGGAGGAAGGTGACAAGGACATGTGCCATTTTTAGAGCACAGACTCAGAGCATGGCATGATCTGAGTTGTTAAGGACTGTGAGGACCCAGGACAGAAGCAGGGGGATGAGGTGGGAGCCCCTGTAGGAGCCTGGACAGCGTGGTGGGGCGCAGAGGAGGAGAAACAGCTGGATTCGGAATCCTTTTAAAGCCAGAGCTGGGAGGGCCTGCTGGAGGATCATAGGGGCAGAGAGGGGAAGCAGGGAACCACGGCAGGACCAGAAGGACCGGGAGGAAGACTGTTTTGGACGTGGCAAGTCTGACAGCCCATGAGACATCAAAGCAGAGACACTGGGCAGTCCACTGGATTTGAGACAGTTTCAGCAGACAGATCGGGCTGGAGACATGCATGTGGAAGTGATCAGAACAAGATGGCACTTAGAGCCACAGGTCTCGTAAGAGCCCCAAGGACAGGCCCAGGCACGCCAACCTTACAGACCAGGGAGGGGACAGCAAAGGAGACTTCAGGGCACTGAGGCAAAACCAAGTGAAGAACATGATTCAGGGGGGAGGCAGGATCACGGGGTCAGATGCTGCTGCCAGGGCATGTCACGAAAGGAGGACCCCCGTCCAGAGGGCAGGGCCATAGCACATTTGCAAGCCGACAGGAAAGGCCACAAGATACAGGAAACGCAGGGAAACCTGCCGAGGCAGGGCCACCCCAGAGGCACAGGCAGGGAGATGTGGCTGTGGGGGCTTGCAGACTGTCGCTCCTTCTATTCCCTGCGTGACACAGGACATGAGGTCATGGTGGGGTAGGAGGCAGTGAAGAGGAGGGTGCGAGTCTGAAACTACTGGGGTGGGGTCCACCTGGGGAGACGCAGCTCAGGAGTGAATGCAAATGCCGAGATCTCATGGGCAGGGAGGAAGGAGGCTGAGGGGAGAGGGATGACAAGAAGGCGGGTGGTGGGTCCCAGGGGGTTAAAGAATTTTGGACTTGGGTCACTGGAGTGGTTTAGAAAAGTCAGAGGTGACAACTGAGCAAGACCCTTACACTTCAGATTATGCAGGAGGTAATGACCAAGCCTAGGTGGCAGTGTGGACAGAACAGGCGGCTGAAGGGGACAAGGGCACAGGTGGCAATCAAGTCACAAGCTGGGAGGACAGGGTGCATGGCAGCAAGACCTGGGGGGTCATCCACGCAGACATCAAGACCACCGGGACCAGAACAAGAGAGGCAGCCACAGCCAAATGAGGGAGCAACCCCAAAGACGCCAAATACTGCCCACAGGTCAAGGGAGAGGAAGGCTCAGAGCAGATGCTGGATGTGGCATCGTGGAGCTCGTAGCAGCACGGAGGGCACAGTCTACCGTGTGGGCTTCAGAGCCGGGGTTTCAGGGGGGAAGGAGGGAGAGGGCTCTAGAAGCATCAACAAGTATGCAAAGAGGATGCCAACTTTGTTTCCATGCCCATAGCATGAGGGCAGGGAGGGAGGAGGCAGCCTCCATTTGGGGGACTGCAGGAGTGGCAGTGCTCAGGGAAAGCCGGGTCCCGGGAACAAGGAGGTGACGGGGCTATTCAGAAAAAGCCGAGTTCTGGCAGCCTGAGGACAAGGCACGGTGGCCCCACACCAGCACAAGCCATCACATGCCAAGAGCGAGTAGAAGGGAAAGACGAAGTTGTGATGGAAAGAGGCTTAGTGTTCTGGGGTGGGGCGCCTGAGTTCCTGACCTGTGGGAGCTGGGAGTCCAGCATCTGGGAGGCGCCCAGACCAGCAGCCTGGCCGAGCTGGCCCTCGTAGACCAGGGCTTGGTTTCCACTCAGGGTCTGGTAGTGTGAGCCGGACTGGGGCTTCACCATCTCTAAGGGCTGCATGCCTGGGAACGCCGAGTACGGAGGCTTCAAGGCTGTGCCCCCGGAGAGGATCATGGTGCTGGGTGGTGACAGGCTGGGGTGCATGTACACCTGAGACCTGCAGAAGTGACACATGCACAGGGTTAGGAGGCATACACAGGGATCTCAAATGTAGCAAGCACCTGGATCCCCGAGGGCCTGCTAAACATAGACCTGGCCCCACCCCAGGGCTTGACCCAGAAGGTCCGGGATGGGGCTGGGAACGTGCATTTACAGCAAGTTCCTAGGTGGTCCTGATGCTGCTGGTCCACATACACTTCGTGCATCACTGGATTAAACAGACACATCCACGCTATACAAGGCACCGGAAGACCTCTGTGATGCCCAAAGCCCAGTACGTCAGACGTGGAAGAGCGCCTTAGGCGGCGAAGGTGGGAAGAGGGGGCAGAGAAGGGCAGAGCCAGGGAAGGAGGCAGGATGATGTGGAAAAGAAAAACAAGGCCCACCATGGCCTCTCCCAGAGCAGCTTTAGTAACGGGCTTGGAGTGGTGGAGGGCAGCACAGGGCAGGGCAGAGCAGAGGGAGCGCCGGAGGGGCCCGGCTGTGAGCTGCCAGCTCTGCAGCCCGGACACGAGCTCACCTGAAGGGCTGTAAGGAGCTGAAGATCTCCTGAGACTGGGAGACGGGGAGACCCCCCCTCAGTCCGAGCTGAGCTTGAGCCTGCAGAGATGTGTGAAGGGAGATCGGGATCTGCTGGGCAGCGGCAGCCTGCAAACGGGAGGCCGGGCGGGTCACTGCAAGGCCCTCCAAGGCGGTTCCCCACCACCCACCTCCTCAACCCCTCTCCACATGGCAGGTACGAAAGTGCCCCAAATACGATTCCAGCATGTCCTTCCAGGGCTTCCCTTGCTCTTGGGATAGAGCCTGTACTGAAAAGGGGGTGGCACCCCCAAACCACAGCGTGTTCCTCCACTGGGACTCTGTACAGTGGCGAGAAGGAATCCCAGCTACACATACCAACAGAGCTGAACTTGGAAACATGACGGATTTTAACATGTACGCAGAGAAGGTTACATGCAGTTTGAGCCAGTTATATGAGAATCAAAATCTTGCAAAACAAACAGTAACAGTTAAGAATACATTTTGAAAAAGACATCAGGACAGGCCACGTCCTCTGTTCTCAGACCTCAAACCTGCACTTGGAACAGATTCTGCCTGGGAGATCCACTCCTGGTGTGTGCAGGTTCACGGGTCTGTGGGGGTGGCTGGACCATTTGAAAGGCCCAGCACCAGCGTTAGCAGGGAGACTTAAATCACGCCCTGCAGCACAGAAACTACGCCATCCTGCATAGAAACAAACACCTGCTCATTTCTAAGACTACCTCTTTCTAATGCATCCATGCCTGGTAGTCTAGGCCTTTCTTCTCTTCATCAGAAGGATACCTGATCACCAAAGAAAATTCCATTTTAGCTAATTCCCCAGCTAGGGTACAGGAGGGATAACTTTGAGAAAGGATCATTAAGCAGAGTCTGGAGCATTGAGTTAACTCCATTTCTCTTCCTTGTCTCTCGTTTATTCATTCAATAAGTACGTTCTGGCTGCCATGGCGTGCCAGGTGCTGGGCACCATGTGAGAGGGACACAGAAAACAAGACAGCGAACAAACAGATGAAGAAGGTAGTTACGCCCGTGCTGCATCTTCCCTCCCGCTCCCAGGCCACCTGCTCGCTGCTGTCACCTGTTGGTAACTCTGTTGCTGAGGTATCGTTTGAGGAACCAGCCGGGGCTGACTTGCAAACACGTGTCCGTCCAGGTACAGAGGAGGGAGGTGGCTGCCTGGAAAAACATCAGGGGGTAGAAAAGGATCAGGTCTCACGGTTTCGGCAAGTCCCTCCAGGGAGCCATTCTGCACACTTGCGCTTCTCAGGGGACTCCGTGGGGTGAGGGCGTGTATGCGCAGGGGCTGCTCGGTTGCCCCTGCTTCTGCCGCATGTGCCTGCTCACGGCACACCTGGGACACACCTCAGGGAGCCAGGGAGGCTGTGGCATCAGGCCCACCTTCCCACCTAACCACGCACCAACTGCCCAGACACTCGGGAGGGACATTTTAGTCTAACTGAGGGCTGCCTCGGTCTCTCAGTCACTGTCCTCTTCATCTCCCTGCTATTGAGTCCACAGTGGAGGGTCAGAAGGATCTATTGGAAGTACATCACTGAGACTTCGGCAGCTGGGCCCTCATAATCCCCATGCTCTCTCTTGGGGCAAGAACACAGTGGCAAGGATGGTGATGGTTAAGGATAAACAGCTACCACAGACGGAGGGCTCAGTCGCTAGGGAAGAGCTGGCTTCGTGGCACAGCCACCCCACGGAGTGCTACCATCACCCGGTCTTACTCCACAGAGGAGGAAGCTGTGGCCACAGGGGCTAGCTCCTCGCTGGCAGAGGTGGCACAGCACTGGCAGGTGACCTGGGTCTGACTCAAAGCCAAGGCTGCTCGTTCCTCTCTCCAAGAGGTGGGAGAGCCTTGCATGGTCCCATGTTCTGCTTCCCAGAAAAGGGAAGCAGGAAGTGCACATTATCCGCAGCCCATGGGAAGCTATGACCACCTGGCCTAAAATCGAATTCCAACTTCTACAAACTCCTTAACCCTAGGCAAGGTGTTTAGGGCTGTTGATCCAACACTTCTCTTGAGTTAAGTGGAGAAGGCTCCCGAGGCATGGCTCGGGGGACAAGATACCTGGCATGGAAGCAGAAGGTGCCACAGAGGCCACAGGCATGGGTGGCATGGACACCCCACCGAAGGAGCTGTAGTTGACCCCGTTGGAGGCACCCACAGAGGACGGCGGCTGGATGCCCGAGCCGGCACCTCCTGGAGAGCTCTGCTCCGGCAAACTGGGGGAGTTTTCCCAAGCCTTGCGCGCAGACTCCATCTTCAGAAGCAAGGGAAGGGAGGGGAGGGACGAAAATTACTACCAGGGATGGCCGTGCACAGCACAAATCTAAGCTTCAGAGTGGTGGGGGGCTCCTCCCTCCTGCCTCTTCACAGGCTAAGGCACTGGCGTGGGCCCCTGCCCAGCTCAGGGCTGGTGTTACCTTCAGAGTGAGGTCAGCGGTGGGGAAGGACATTGGGGAGAGGCCAATGGCCCTCTGGATGTGATGATCCCGCCGCAGGATGGGAATACTCTGGGTTAGCCCTGCCTGGAGAGGGGGAAAAAGGAAACCATGGAATACACACAGCAGCAGAGAAAATGAGACGCTTGTTCAAATTCACCTATGACTTCTCCAAACACATATTCAGTTTGGGCCACGGGTACTTGAGACCGCCACGATGGAGCTGACAGCAGCTGAGACCACAATCTCTCTCGTCTAGATCACCGCCTTCATCCGTGGACAGCCACCTCCACACCCACACTCCACCAAGGCCTCCAGACAGGGGCAATCATGTCCCCGCAACACAGAAATTGACTGGCTGCCAGCACGCAAGCACCTGGCTCAGCAGGCACCTGCCATGCGGCCTGGGGATACCCTGGGGCACCCAGGGAAGGCTGTGCCCTTGGCCAACTGTGACAAAGAGGTCTCTGGTAACAGAGGCTGGAAATGCAATGGCTAGGCCCTCTGCCGGCAGATCCCTGGTGTCCTTTGACATATCACAGCCACTTGGAGAGATCTCAGGGCAAAGAAACTTGTTTAACCCAGCTTTTCCAAACATGCATGACCACAGAACTTTTTTGTTTTTTCATTCAACAACTGTCAACATTCTGCAGCACTGATGTTCCTTGAAATCTGCTGGGAAGTGCTGCCCAGTGAGCCCCATTCACTGAGCACATCCACTGAGCACCTACGCCGCCAGGCGGAGAGGACAGAGCGGTGAACAACAACGCTGCTGTGACAGCCATGACTGTGGCCCTGAGCAGCTCACGACGGATGCGTCTCCCTGCTCGAGTCTGCAGCAGAGGGACAGGAGGTCTACTGGATTACAACAAGTCAGGCCACAGGCTGCAGGGACCCTCAGACATCGAGGATGGGGCCTCCCAAGGAGACCCTCTCAGGGCCCCTCCACGGGGCATAGAAAAGAGTGTGCACCATTCTTGGCATGTACCTGGCACAAAGGAGACTGTGGAACCAAAGAAAGCCAAATAAGTCAGACCTCGGGAGTTATGTTATCCCCACTGGAAGGTCACAAACCTGGGCGTGGAACATTTAAGCAACCTGCCTGAGGACATGTAGCTGGCTAGAGACTGAGTCACAAGTCAAAGCCAGGCCATCCTGTCTCTCCTCTGGCCCAGGGCCTGCCAGTCACGGGCGAACAGACAGAGCTAGAGGTAGAGGTGCAGACTTACATTGCTGGCCAAGGCGTCCTGAAGTTTGACAACTGGATTTCCTGCAGGACCAGAGGCAGAGCCGGGCGGCAAGCTGAAATCAGAGTCCTGGGAAAAGGGGGAAACAGCCCGTGAAATCCTGGCTCACCCCTCCCCAGAGGCTCACAGTAACCGCACCTCAAAAAGTCCACTGAGCAGCGTTCACTGGAGCCACAGGTGAGCAAGATGGGCAGATGTTTCCTGGTGGCACATGAGAAAGGCAGCCACCCTTGCTCCTCTCTCCCTGCCCCCCAGGTGGCCAGTGGAGACAGAGAAGGTCACCACCTGCTCGACTGAGCCTGGCTAGTGCCACCAAGGCAACCTATGAGGCCAATCAATAGCACCTGCCCCACCCATGACTCCACACCAACACTCTCGCCCCTGGAATGGGCTCAGCTCCCATCTTCTTGCTCTTTCTAGGAGACAACCCTGTCTAAGCCCCCACCTTTCCATGTACCAAAAAGAAAAAAGAAAAAGGAAAAGGAAACAAATCAAAACCTCACTTTTGGACTGACTCCAAACTCAATGGGTGGCACAGGCAGCACAGAATCCACGTGAATCTCCACCCCGTTAACAGGTGGGACGACAGCCCCTTGCAGCCGCTCGGGCCCCTCTGAGCCCTTTCTGTTTTTCAGAGAGCGTTCGTTGCCGATGGGTCCTGGTCTGTGCTCCTTGCTCTGTCCTGAGCCTTGTTCTGAATCCTTGATGGAAAAGCAGAGGCTGAGACACACAGACTGGGACGACCGCAGTCTCCAGCGTCTAAGGGCCCTGGGAATGGGGGAAGCAAACAGACGATGGCCCCTTCCGCCCAGGCCTCCATGAGGGAACTTCCAGGTTACCTTCTGCTCAGATTGCTTCTGAGCCTGCTCCTTGTGGCTGTCAGACTTGGGTTCCGCCAGGCCAGGCCCGCTCATCTCTTCTGGTTTCAGAGTACCATACGGGGAGCTGCGCTGCGAGGAGGTCGCGGATGACTCCCGAGACTCGGCACTCAAGTCCACGCCACTATCCCCCTGGCTGCTCTTAAAACCCTGCTGTACAGAGCACAAGATGGGTTAGAGCCCTGACCCCAAAACTCCAGAACTTGATTACCCAGAAAGTAAGAATGTGTGCAGCCCTGAGACACAACTCCCCAAACCACCTGCCCCCACGATGTCTTCTCCTAATCTTGGTCCTGACCTGCTGATGGTGCCTGGAAACTTACATGTGGCCAAACGCACTGAGTCTGCTCAGGCGCACAGCCACGAGACCCTCCGTGTGCCCTAGACCAAGACTGCCCAATTCAGTTCTCTCATGACCCAAATCCGACTGAGTGACCACCAAGACCAGTTCAGGAGGCCACGGCTCAATCCCTCTCCCTGCCCAGGGGCTTCCCCTTGTCACCCCTTCTCTTTCTCCCACAGGCCCCACACAGACCCAGAATCCACACTGAAAACCAGTGACAAGCCAGGGCCTATGGGAACAGACTCAGGCAGGCTGGGATGAAGGGGTCCACAGCACGCCAGCCACGAGGACGGTGAGCATGCAAGCGGCACGCAGCCGCAGCCACGCTCACCTCGGAGGAGCCAGGCTCGGTGCTGCTGAAGGCGGTGACGGCTTTCCTCCAGGAGTCACTGGCTGAGGCCTGCACGGGGAGAGCTGCCAGAGGGAGGAAGACAGAGTCAGGGCATCAAAGAGGAACAACCAGTCTGGAAAAACACGAGTTTACGAGTCTTAAGAAACAAGCACAGGTACAGCTTACAAGTCCAATTCCCCTGACTGCCTCCCCCACCCCTGCAAATGACACATTCGTGAGCGGATCTGGTCTGACGGCTTTAAAGGACTTTCCAACATCCTCAGGCGGATTTCATCGAACGGGCTTCTCCGTATTTTATGGATTATATGCAACAGTAAACACAACAGCAATTTCTTATTCACACCTGTTTGAATTCCCTATCACTCCTTCTGTTACTGCTTTCTTTCACTTAAACTATTTATTTTTAAAAGTTGGCAGCTTCTCTAAAGTCTTTAAAACATCCAAGTGGGTATTACTCAAATTTTGTTAGCTCGCACACTCCGTTGAGAATCTGACAACAGCCTTGGACCCTAAGCCCAGAAAAATGTACATGCACACAAAACTTTACATGCTATTTTAAGACCCAGGGGCCCTCTGAAGCCATCCATAGATCCCTGGTCTGATCAACCTATAACACTGCAGAAGTCCTGGAGGAACAGATCTGACAAAAGGGGATGACTCTTCAGTCTAGCACGCACTGCTCAACCAAGCTGGCGGGCAGGCATTTTTGGACATTTATACCGTGATACTCATCACTCACACACTCTACCAAACACACTGTTATCAATGCTTTATCAAAAGATCATCATAACCCCGTCTCTACTAAAAATAGAAAGAAATTAATCGGACAACTAAAAATATATAGAAAAAATTAGCCGGGCATGGTGGCGCGTGCCTGTAGTCCCAGCTACTCGGGAGGCTGAGGCAGGAGGATCGCTTGAGCCCAGGAGTTTGAGGTTGCTATGAGCTAGGCTGACGCCACGGCACTCTAGCCCGGGCAAATGAGTGAGACTCTGTCTGAAAAAAAAAAAAAAAAAAATAGCACCAGATATAAAATTGAGAAAAATATTGTTCAGGGAAAAACAATTTTTTCCAAAAGGTAGGGTATACCTTACTCAGGTTTGCTTCCCCAGAATGTTTGGGGAGGAGCTCATAGAACTTTCCTCCAGGACCAGGGAAGGGCACACCACAGCTAAGAAAGCTTCTGAGCTCTTGCTGGTCTTCCCATCAGTCACTTGTCGCTCTTCCATAAGATAAACGAGGATGGCTGATGTGGGCAAAGAAAGTGGAACCCATTCCCCGAGTGATTCTGGGTCACGGGGTTGTCCTTTCCCAGATCATGACATGACGAGCAAACAGCACTGAGGGCATTCGACACTCTGGCTCAGCCCAGGAAAGCCCAGGGGAGCCCAGGAAACAGCCGAGGCTCCCCCTATATGTATTACTCGGACAGCACAATGCCCCCAGGAGGAGATCCCGGTCTGTGAGGCGACCTTGGGCCACGGGTTGAGCCCTGATGCGCTGCCCCTACCTTGGCTGCTGCTCTCCCAGATCTCGGTGCCAAGGCTGTTGCTGGGCACGGTCACATCACCTTGTTCCAAGCACAAGTTGTTTTGCTTTTTCGCAAATCGAGGAGGAATACGGGAGGAAAGGCCTCGACCTTTGACAGGCACCTACGGGGGGGAAAAAAGTGATAGCGTCTAGCCCAAGGCATGAAGACTGACAAATTCTCCCCAGGAAAAGTATCTCAGGTGTCAAAATCACACCACCCAAAATTGCTCCAGAGACGCTTGGAACTCATGACTCCCAGGACCTCAACCGCAGAGTGCACTGCAATGCCAGGCAAATCCAACCCCAGGGAAGGGCTGCCGGACAGGTGGACTGTGATTATGTGTGTGTCCAGCCCTGGGTCCCCTGTAGCACAGGGTTCATGACCTGAGTGACCCCCAGACTCCCAGGGGATGAATCTCGTTACACTCAGGCTGGAGCACAGTGTCGGGGGGTGGACTTGGGAGGCTGGGGAAGGTCTGCATCTGGCTTGGCCACATCTCAGCTGTTATCACCGGAGGACAAGTCACCCTCTTTGAGACTCAATTTCTTCCTCTGCAGAATAGCGATACCATCACCTACTCCCACAGGGCTACGGTGAGGGCAGGCACCGCGAGATACCGCATGCTCAATAAATACTCCTTTCTTCCTCCCAGCTTCCATGAGCGTCACTCAGACGCTCTTATCCTCCGGCCCTGGCTTCTCGGGCACCTGCAGGCCTGCCTTCCCCCGCTCACCTGCACTGCTTGCTCCTTCTTCCTTCTCTCCTCCTCCAGCAGGCGGCGTTGCTTCTTGGTCAGGACTTCGATGAAACCTTCGCCCACCATAGAGCCCACCTCACTCTCCTCTCCGGGGCTAGACCCACAATTTTCAATGATGGCATCTGAACCAAGATTTCATGAGAAGGGACAGTGTTTTCATTCATCAGAAGGCAAGAATAACCCAACCCAATAAGCACCTGACATCTAAGGACAGGCTCAGCTCAGGAGGCAAGGCAGCGCCTGGTTTGACACTGCCAAGAAGCTGTGGCGTATTCGCCAGGGCCCATGGAAATCTGGACATGATCTCTGCACCTTTCTCAGGTCCCCTCTTGATCTCAAACCAAAGAGGCCTGAGTAGCACTACAGTTAAGAAAACAGTTTTGGAGAAGGGCACACTTAAATCCCAGCTCTGCTCCGAGCCAGCTGTGTGACCTTGGACCTGCTACTGAATCTCTCTGGGCCTCGGGCCTCCCCTCTTTAAAACTGGAAAGCCGCGGGGTGTCCTGGGGATTCAACAGGCTGTGAGCAACACGAGGGCAGGATCTTATCTGTTTGGTCCAACACTGCATCCCCAGAACATAGCGCAGCACCTGCCCTGCAGTTGTAGGAGCTGGCGGATTCAGTGACGCAGCAAACACAGCAGCCCCCACCCGCCATGGCCCTCGGTTCTGCCTAGTTCTTCTTCCCTCTAAAGCTGGGAGCAGGACCAGACTCACTTCCGTAGTTCAGGTCAAACTGTTTCATGGTCTCTCCCTGTTCGCCTGCCCTCTGAGCAGCCAGCTTGGCCTCTTTCTCCACCTTCTTAGTGGAGGCCTCGGGAAGGTCGGTGTTGCCATGGGCTGCCCGCTCCAGCGGGTAGGGTGAGTGGCCACTCCCACTGCTGCAGCCACTAAGACCTCCAGGCAAGGCCTCATCTGGGGACCTACAGAGGAAAGAGAATCCTGTTAACTCAGAAACAACCAAAGGCTGGTGAAGGGGGGAGAAGGGAAACTCGCATGTGCACACGGCCCGCACACAAACACAGCACCCTGACCTAGGTCCACTTCCCTTCGCTGACCCCTCGGCAGCAGCATCTGTGTCTGTACAAACGCCACATGGAAAGCCCGCATCCCATCCCTGCTGGCTCGGAGCTCTACCCACTCCTGAGGAAGGCGGCTCTTTGACCAGCCCCTTCCCAGGGCTTGGCACTTCTGTTCTTCCCCGCTACAGGCCGAACTCGGCAGACCGCAGCAGGGAGAGAAACGGGACATGCTCAGAACAGAGCTGCTGACCTTTCTGTTCTCATCCAGGAGACCTGGACCAGCAAGGGGCCCAGGCCGGCCCACGCTCTCAGGACAGAAATCAGAAGCAAAGCCAAGTCTTGGCACCTGGGCCCTGGAAAGCTAGGCCAGACCGACACCTAAAAGAATCAGCATTTTCCTGTGGCTCCTTTTTTGGGGGCAGGAGCACCCCAGGTTTCTGTGCCTTGAATTCTAAGGAGGATGGGAGATGCAAAGCGATCTTCCCAGTACGCTCTGAGGGCAGGGAAGGCATCCACACACCTTGCATCCCGCTGTCTGAGACGTGGACTACGGGCACTCAGTAAACCTTGCGCAAGCAACCCCTTCCCCAATACAGGGCAGCCTGTGGGCAGTGGGCTGCACTGAGCACAGACCGTCCTCCCGGAAGCCTCTAGTTCCAGAGGAGAGACACTCACAGGCCTCGGGCAGCCCGTTTCCCTTTGCACCTGCTGGGCTCCTGCGGTGCCAAGGTGGCAACCCCTGCAGCAGCGCTACATCTCTTCACTGTGGAGAAGGACAGCCACTTGGGAAGAGTTGCCTCCGCACAGGCAGAAGGCCAGCAGGGCCCCCCAGGCGACTGCCTGGCAGCAGCTCCGTAGCAGGGTCTTGGGGACTGACTAGTGCCTTGCCAGGTCCATGCACAGACAATGCCCCTCTGGGCAGTAGCCCACTGACAGGTTCCAAGGACACTTACGGAGGCCAGGTGCCAGGACAGCTGCCACAAGAGAACTATGGGGGTAAAGGGGATGTCTAGCTTTAACTTTTTCAAGCCACAACAACACCACCACAAGCGAGGCAGACAAGCAATGCAGGAGCGAGTGATGGGGACACTCACACACAATGGCCTTGGGGGCAGGCGCCCCCACGGAGCACCTGACCCACGGCAGGCATGCATGCATGAATTCAGTGCTGCTAAACAACAGGACGACAACAAAAAGGGCCTGGGATGGTGTTCTGGTGTTACCTTTTGGCTTTCAAAGGCGTCCCACTCTGTTGGTTCTCATAACGGGGGGAAGTGTCACCACCACCTGGCCTAATCGACTTCTCCCCAAACCCTCCCGGCTCCAGCTTTCGGCTCTGTCTGTCAACCAGGGGTCTCTGACTGGAGAAGCTCCTCTTGGCCAGCTCCTTCTTCTCACCCAAACTGGCCCCGGACAGGCCACCGTCCACCTGGGAGTCGGGCTCGGCCCCGTGGCCTTCTCGTCGCTCCCGCCGCTCGCTGAAGTCACTGCTCTCGGAGGCCGTCTCCCACTCTTCGTTGGCGTGATCGGAGGAGTTCTGGTAGGAGAGCTCGGGGGACCTGTGACCCACAGCGCTGCTCTTGTCCCCAGGACAGAGTTTGGACCTGCCCGGCCACTGACCCGCCAGCAGGTGGGGCTCCTCCTCCGGGCCCCACAGGCCCAGTGACTCACGCTCTTGCCGGAGGCGCCGGAATCGAGGGGGCTTGTCTTGGCGCGGAGGGCGCCTTCTCCTGAAGGGCCGGTTTTCTGCATTTTCAGAATCTGCCACGTGGTCGTCTTGGAAGAAGGACCTCTTGTCCTCCAAGCGGCTGTCCTCAAAGCTCCTGCTGCCAAACGAGTCGGAGTGTCTGTAGGAATCGGGGATATAGTCTCTGTCTGCGGATCGCCGGGACCCGCACGTGTCCGAAGCGCCATACTCCTGCCAGGAGCTGCCTGGACTCTTGCTCTGCCGGTGGGGTGACTCTCTGGAGACGAAGGTTCTCCGCCCATAGCCGCAATTGCTCAGCCGGGGAGGGAGAGCTCGCCCAAAGGCCCGAGGGCCTCGGCTCTTAGCGTCCAGACTGTTAGGGTCCTCCGAGTACATCTTGTTGGACCGCCAGGAATCTCTGTAGTCACCTTTCTTCAAGGCGCTCTCCTCCCTCTCCAGCAGCGAGCCCTCGTTCCCGTTCTCAGAGCCTCTCTGCCGGCGCCGCTTGGGAAGCTCTTCGTACTCGGAGCCCTCGCTGTGGGTCTCGCTGGCGATCCTCCGCCGGGGCTTGGCCCGGGGGCAGTCTTCCGGCTGGGCGAACTCGCGCAGGCCGCGGCCCCGGCCGCTCCGCTGGCTGCTGCTGTAGATGCCACGTGCTCCGAGGACCCCCCCACCACAGAGGCTGCTTCCGTTGCCACCAGCAGGCCGGCCGCGAAAAGTGAACTCTCTGAAACCGCGGCCCCGGCCCCGGGCCTGCCCTCTGACCCCAAAGGCCTGCTCCTCGTCGATAAAGATCCAGTTATTTCTCTTTGTTGGGGGAATGTCGCTGGACTCTCGTGAAGGTCTGGTTTCCCAGGCCTTGTCAGGCTTCTCGTCCTCCTCAAACTTGTCGGCCTCACGGCCAAAAGCAGCGTGGGCAGGACCCTTGTCCTCCAAGGCAGAAGGGGAGGAGTTAGCCAGGGTGGGGTCATTCTCTTCATCCTCATCCTTCTCTGCCGTGCGAACCTGCTCCTTCTCCTTGGCCAGACGCTCCTCCCCGAGTTCCTGCTTCATCTTCTCCAGCTCCTTCTCCTTATCTTCTACCTTGAGGGCTTTTAGGACCGGCTTCTTGATGGGCCCCGACCTCCGGGTCCTGCCCGTCTGCTCCTGCTGCTGGCTGCCGGAGCTCCGGGACTCGGGCGTCCACTCAGTCTCCGAGGACGGCTGCTTGCTGGGGCTCCCATCCTTCTCCCAGGAGGAGATGTTAAAGGATGGCCCCTCCTGGGGCGCCTCCTGCTCGACACTGTGGGCTGTGTCAGCGGCCTTTGGCTGGTGGCTAATGTCCCAACTGCCATACTCTGGCTTTTTCTCATCTGGGACAAAGTCAGGCTCCAATGGGGAACACCTGAGGTTCTGGGTGTGACCCCCAGGAGCACCTGCTTCCTGAACATTTTCTTGGGGTAGAAACAAAAGCTCCTGGCCTATTCTTTGAGAAGAGATACAGCTGTCAAAGTCTGCTTGGGCCTTCTTGTCAAAAGCACTCAAGTACTCCTCCCCTCTCTCCTCAAAGAGATCGCGCTGGGCACCTATGCCCCCGGACCTTCCGGGTGAGGCAGAGTAAGAGCTTTCATTCCTGAAAAGGAACCAGAAAAATCAGTCAATGTGATTGGAGCCTGGTTCCTGGTTTCCATGCTGAACACAGAGCTTAGTTTTAAAAAGAAAAAAATTTTTTTTAAAAAGAAAGAAAAAAAAAACACAAGCACCAACATTTGCGCTATCTGTAAACACGTCTCAGAGCGGCTGGGCCATGGATTGGTCGGTGGCCCCTGGAGTCCGAGAGAATGAAGAATGTAGTGGCCACGGGTGGGTGCAGCGTGCCACCCTGGGGACAGCAGCTGGGCAATCCTCTGGTTCAAAGAACAAGCTGGAGCCTGGGCGTCCGTGAAGCGTCGGGGCACCAGATGGCAGGGCTACCTTTGCTTACTTAACAGGAATGAGCCAAGACCCACTCTCGACCTCGTCTGCCCCGGGAGGCCCCCACCCACTCGCCATGCACCCGAGGCCCAGAGACCCCAGGATTTCTCCTCCTCCTCGAGTCCCGCCATCAGCGAAGAGCCTCTCACACAAAGCAGTCAAGCAGTCCTCACACTCTCCTTCCTAGAGGGCACGAGCGCCCCTTCAGAGGAGCCCGCCTCCGGGCAGTGCCTCTTCCCAGGGCCCTCTCAGTCAGCACCCGGAGTCTCCCTCCAGCGGCAAGGCAGGAGCACCAAGTTTCGTCTCACCTGACACGCATGTCCATAGCCAAGGTGTCACTCGACTTCGGGTGGGGCAGTGAGTAGCCCTTGTTCTGCAAGGCCATGTAGCCCTCTGGGCTCCACACAGGGGCCGGATCCATGGTGGTCACCTTTCTCTCTTGGAGTGGGGGCACACAGTTCTGATCCTCAGAGCGACAGCCAGTCCCACTGAGAGGGTCTTGGGGCGCCATGGGTTTCATCAGGCCTGGGGAAGGCAAAGGCTGATCTCCGTCATCTCATGGAGAGAGCCCTGCCCAATCTCAGGGTCAAAGGCTCAGAGCAGACCAGTCACCCCAACTATCACATGCATACAGCACCCTGCCCACTTAAACATCACGGGGTTCATTAGCTTTTCTGATCAGAGGACCTTTGAAAGTACACGTGCATGCAATCTGAATTGTCCAAAGACCTGTGAAGTCCAATCTCAATTCTCAGATACTATCCTGACTTCCCTGGAGAAAAGTAAGGGAAGCACATTTGTCAGTCTTGGAAAACCTTTGGGCCTGGCCTTCAACACCCTCCCAGCACAGGGGATAAGGCCTTTCTGTACAGGGCAGAGAGTTGCAACTCAGACGCTGCTGAAAATAAAGACCCTCAAAGGGCTATGACCACAAAAAGCACAGTGCACAAATACACGCTCTTTAGTACTAGGAACTGACTACAAGTCTGTCTTGGCTTGGGCCAGGGCAGGGAAAAAATAGTGACCCACGCCCCCGGCCCCAAATCCAAAAGCCATATGATTGCTTTCATGAGGCTTAGGGTAGGGGGAGTTCAGATTTCTACCTCCCACAACGGTCCGGAAGCCTCCCAAGTAAACATGACAGGTGGTTCTAGGCTGGCAGAAGAAAACACAAAACCAGATTGGAAGGACAGACCTTCAACCCAGACCATACTGGGTCCCCACAGATAAAACTCTGTAGGGACTGAACTTGCCATCCCAACTGCCAGAGCACACGTGGAGAGTAACCCACCACGAGTTTGCAGTGAGCCCCCAGGACTTGAGGTAGCAGAATAATTTGTTAAACACTAGAAAATTACGTATAAAATGATTAAAAGCATAAAAGAAAGAATTAAAAACAAAAGAAAAATACAAACAAAAAATGAACAGATTTTAGAAATCAATTCTAGTAATAAACACATAATCACTGAAATTAAAAGCCTATCTGGGACAGTAAGAAAGCAGATTAGATAAAGCTGGGGAGAGAACTAACTAGAAAATAGTTCTGAGGCAGTTTCCTGGGGGCAACACAGAGGTAACCTCTCCTTCATATATTCTTCCTCATTTAAGACACTTGGAAGACAAAATAAGAAGGTACAAAATAAACCTAGTGGAAGTCTTAGAAAGAAGGATAAAAAGAATGAGGAAGAGGTGATATTTGAAGTGATAATTAGATGAAAACTGTCCAGAAGTAATTAAAGACATACTTCCTTCGATTCTAGCACAATGAGTATTAAGCAGAGTAAAATAGACATAACACATCGACACAGAACTCCAGGACACCAGAGACAAAGAGAAGATCTTAAAAGCAGCAAGGGAAAAAGATCTTAAAAGCAGCAACAGGAGCCAGAAGAAAATGGATTGCCACCTTCACAGCACTGAAAGACGGTAACTGCCAACCTAGAATTCGATATTCAGCTGCGCTTTCATTCAGAAGGGTGAAATAAAGACTTTTTCAGACAAAGATAATCTATTGCCAAAAACTTTACTGAAGACCTGAAGAATGTACTTTATAGAGAAATAAACTCAACCAAGATGGAAGGAAAAAAGATAGGAAAAAACTGGTAAATATACAGGCAAATCTGAATAAGCACAGACTAGATAAAACAACAAATATAATAATCACTATTTGGTGGGCATAAAAACAAGGAAGAACTGAAATTCCAGGCAAAAACCACGAGTAAGCCTGCTGGTGGAGGTAATGAGAGTTCAGGTGAAGGGCAACGATACTGATGAGCCCTTGCTGAGTCAAGGGTCCATGCCGCAATTTCAAAGTAACCACTCACATCTAGTAATAGAATGTAGAAGGGAAAAAACAAACAAAAAGAATAGCAAAACTTAATCCAAAAAAGGCAGGAAATAAAAAGAAAGGCATACAGAAAGAAGAACAAACAGAATACATAAACTAGGACAGCTAGAAAATCTAAATATACTAATCTCAATAAATCTAAAGGGACCAACTTTGGCAATTAAAAGTCATAGATTTTCATATTGGGCAAAACCATATACATCTTGTGGATGCAAAGATACACTCGCTCCCCAGAAATAAGGGCTCAGAGAGGCTCACAGCAAAAGGTTGAAACAAAGATATCAAATAAACCCTAATTAAAAGAAAACCGGGGCCGGGCGCGGTGGCTCACGCCTGTAATCCTAGCACTCTGGGAAGCCGAGGCCGGCGGATTGTTTGAACTCAGGAGTTTGAAATCAGCCTGAGCAAGAGCGAGACCCCGTCTCTACTAAAAATAGAAAGAAATTAATCAGACAACTAAAAATATATAGAAAAAATTAGCCGGGCATGGTGGCGCATGCCTGTAGTCCCAGCTACTCGGGAGGCTGAGGCAGGAGGATCACTTGAGCCCAGGAGTTTGAGGTTGCAGTGAGCTATGATAAAGCCACTGCACTCTAGCCCGGGCAAAAGAGTGAGACTGTCTCAAAAAAAAAAAAAAAAGAAAACTGGAACCAGTCATCTCAGTACTTTGGGAGACCAAGGCAGGAGGATCACTTAAGCCCAGGAATTCAAGACCTTTCTGGGCAACATATCGAGACCTCATCTCCACAAAAATATTTTTCAATTAGCTAGGCTTTGTGGCGGGTACTTATAGTCCCAACTACTCAAGAGGCTGAGGCGAGAGGATTGCTTGAGCCCAGGAGTCAAAGGTTATGATATGCTACGATCGTGCCACTGCACTCTAGCCTGGGTGACAAAGACCCTATCTTTAAAAAAAAAAAAGAAAAAGAAAAAGAAAATAATTATATTGTTGTGAGACAAAGTAGGTAGTAAAGAAAGAGATAGAAAGCACTATTAACTGCTACAGAAAAACAGAAGAACAAGATGTAATTCCACACCTGTAGGCCTCCAGACAGACAAAGCAAAAACTGGCAGCCTTACAAGGGAAGATTTGACAAATCCACAATCATAGTGGGAGATTTCAACACACCTCTTAGTAATTGATCGAGGGGATAAAAACTTGATATAGATATTTGTAAAACACAATTAGAAAGGTCAATTTAATACACTACTTCTGATGGAGCATTCTCCTCAGGCAATCATGGAATGTTTAAAAAAAAAAACAATGATCATGATCAGCTTACAAAGAAAATCTCAACATATGTCACGTGACCTAGATCAGGATGGGTCAGCAGGCTACAGCTCTTCAGTAAAACTCAGCCTGCCGCCAGCTTTTATATGTTATGCTTTACTGGAAAACCATGATGCTCATTCATTGACTATTGTCTATAGTACTTCTTGTCTTACAACAGCAAAATTGGATAGTTAGTTGATAAAAGCCTAAAAAGTTTTACTAACTTGCCATTTATAGAAAGTTTGCTGACCCCCAGGTCTTAAACACAGACCATATTATCTGGTCACAGGCAGCTACATTAAAAATTAACACCATAAAGATAATCTTAAAAAGCCAGAAATTCATGCAGTAAGCCTCTAATACTATTGATTAGAAAAAGAACAATAATTTCCGAGGCAATAAGAAAAAAAAGTCAGAAATTATTGAACCCAAATAACATAGAGGAATGAAGTAACCCAAAAGCTAATTCTAAAAAATGTATTAGACAAAACTTGGGAAAGACTAATCAAGGAAAAAAGAGAGAAAAGACACAACATTAGGAATGGGAAGAGAGACAAAAAGACATGGCAGAAATCTAAAATTAATTAAAGCAATTTACAATGCATGATCTTACTACTCTTCCCAACAATTCTTTATCAACTATTATTATACCTTCACTTTGCAAACGAGAACACTGAACTCGGAACAATCGTGTGACTTGACCAAGAGGCCAGACTAGAATCCAGGTGGGCGTGACTAACTCCCAAGGTGACACCCTAACCACCACACTATCCTGAGTCCACACACTCCAGGAACGGACCACTAGCTACCCTGGTGCTTACCTGAAGGGTGGAGGGCGGAGGGGTAGAAGTCCACGGGGGTCCGTGTGGGTGTGATCCGGGGGTCCATGTAGGAGGGCATCATCATCCACCTGGGGTCGAAGCCCAGCATCTGGGGATGGTGTGGGTAGAAGGTGCGCTGGGGGTGGGAAGGCGGAGGGTACACCGGCTGCCAGTGCTGCATCTTGTACAGCTGCTCCTGCCCAGGTGGAGAGAGACCTGGTTAGGCAGGTGCAGGATGGGCAGAGACACTTTCCAGCAGATGGCACAGAAGCCCACCCAGAACAGAAGACCAAAGAGGAAAGAGATGGGTAGCTGCTCGAAGGGCAGACCTGAGTATCACAGCTCAGACTGGGAGGCCTCTCCAGGACTGGGTGGACCGTCATGCCATCATGACAGGAGCCCAATGCACCAGTGCTACACAAGACAGGCTCGGTTTTCATTCGGATTAAACACTCCTGGAACTGACCAACCGACCAGCACCCACACCCCTCCCATGGAACCTCTAGATGCTGGCCACTTCTCTTCTTGCCTAGAGAGCCATCGTCTTGAGTACAGTCATCCTCCTTTCCCTCCTCCCACCTGGCCTCTTAAATCCATTCTCCGCACTCAACTAGGGTGATCTTTCCACACAGCCACCCCTGGTTTCAGAGCCTTCGGTGGTTCCCCACTGCTCTCTGCCTGCCAGCCCGAATCCGACCAGGCTACCCGGAACCTACAGGCTCCTGCGAGACCTTGCTCGATCTGCATCCCCAGCTGTGACTCCAGTGACTGCCCTCCACTCCCTGCTCCATGTCTCCGCCTGCCCGCTTCAGGCCAAGGTGACATGCTGGGCCCACTGTCTGCTAGGCTCTTCTTCCCTGCACCCCTAAACCCGGGTATCCAGCTTAAAAAACACTTCCCAGCCAGGTATAGTGGCTCGTGCCTATAATCCCAACACTTTGGGAGGCCGAGGCAGGAGGATCACTTGAGGCCAGGAGGTTGAGACCAGCTTGCATAATATAGTGAGATCCATCTCTACAAAAAATACAAAAATCACCTGGGCATGGTGGCATGCACCTGTACTCCCAGCTACTAGGAAGGCTAAGGTGGGAGGACCACTTGAGCCCAGGAATTTGAGGTTGCAGTGAACTGTGATCATGTCCCTGCACTCCAGCCTGGGCAAGAGAACAAGACCCTGTCTCTAAAAACACAACACAAGACTTCTTCTAGGAAGCCCATCATAACGAGACCCTGTTCTCTGCTCCTGTGGAACTGCCATTTCTCCTCTACGGCACTCACAACCATTTACTCTATTTTGATGTCGGTATCCCTCACTAAGTCCCAAGAGACTGTGTTCCTAGCTCACTGAGGCATCCTTGCCCCCAGCACCTTTTAGGAGCACTCAATAAACAGAGATCATCTGTCAAGACACTAGAGTCACTAACTCCCCAGCCACAGAGAAGGCTACAGCCTCCACCCAAAAGCTGCTCCTTCTGACTAGACCTCAGGTCCCCAGGGAATCTGATCAGATAGGCTGCCCTGTTGCTTGCAGATACCTTTCCATTTTCAAGGAACGATTTACCCAGCACTGCCTCCCCGACCCCTACAAGGAATTACCTAGAGCAACTGTCACTGCTGTGTTTGACACCAGTAATTCCAGGGATCTCCCTAATCAGAAATTCTACTCCAACAACACAAGTAACTATACAGTGCTCACTTATACCACAATGCTATAAAAGCACAATTAAGGAGCCCCTGGAATGTTCCTAGGAGACCAGAGAAGAAGAGAGGCTGTGCCAAAAATTTTAAAGGAAATTAAATGAGATACTGGAAGAAGCCTTAAGACCTTGGTTTGTTTCTCCAGGCACACATATTTTGAAACATTTTCAGTTAATATTAATAACTTATTACACACCTTGCTGCTGGGCATGCACTAAGTCTATTTATTATTAATATCTCAGTTTCCCACCACAGTGCACCATTAATCAGTAGGGACTCCTTTCGTTCTTCATTTCTTACTACTCTAAGCCGCACGGCTGCTGCTGAGTGCTTTTAAGGTGACCAGGACCAGGAGAGACTGGTATGGTTACAACCATTAACCACATGCTCTTCCTCTGGGCAGAAAGCAGGGCTCTTTTAAAGTTTATAAAACAGCAGTAACGATTACACTGACAATCAGTTTACAGGAGTCGGCAACACGCTGACAGGCAGGCGCCCACTCTTCCAGGTCCACGAAGAAACACGGGCTGGTGGAGCACAGCCGACCTGGCCACGCGCGCACGGTTAGGCAGCACTGTGAGGACGGGAACTCAAGCCTCTGTCCCTAACCCAAAGCTGACATGCCTCTGACAGCTCTTGAAATAGTTCATAGGCCTCCCCTGAGCCTTGGGAGGACCCCAGCACAGGGCCCACTGTCACTATACACAGTGTCCAAAGTGTTCTCCTGAAATGGAAAAAACCACTCTTCAAGCTAAACAAAATGGAACTCGAGGCACATGCCAGGAACTCTTATCCTCACCATGCTAGAAAGCAAGACCAATAACCCACAGCACGGGCTGTATTCACTCACGAGGCCTTCATCGCGCGGAGAAATAAGTAATGGCTGGGGGTTGATTTACCAAAGTCACAAGTTTTGGGGTGCAATTCCTGACATCCCCGCTGTTTGCTGCGACGTAAGAGGGTGATTTTGTTTTTAACTGAAGGTGGGCATGGGGAAGGGAGAGAGGCAGTGTCGGCTCAGTAGTCAGGTCTGTTTATAACCACCTAACATCTGATCTGTTTACCTGTTGCTGCTGCTGCTGCTGGCGCTGGAATCGGGGAGGAAGTGACTTCTGATACTTGCTCAACTCCTGTGCCGGGGACCCAGCCTCCCTGGCCTCCTCCTCACTGCTGGTGCTCTGAGCCACAGCCGGGGACACTGTGGGTGCCTCTTCAGGGAACGTGGCGGGGGCTTCCTGGGCAGGGAATTCTGGGGAGCATAGAGAAGCAGCCAAGAAACAGCACAGTGAGCTCTCGGCAGCTCAGCCCACCCATGTTTACCAGCAAGTGCCTTCTCCTATTGGCACTTCCATTCCACACCTAGACCATCCACGTCCCTGAACCTGGCACTGGGCCAAATGGGCCACATGCATGAGCTCAGCATCCCCCACAACGCACTGTGAGGAGGATTCACCTGCTGCCACGTTAGAGGTGAGGAAACTTAGGGTGAAGAGGCTAGGCGACTGCTCACGGTCACACAGTCCATGGCAGAGCTGGGATCTGATTCCAGGTGAAAGAGGTTTTATTAAAAAGAAAGGAAAGGCTGGGTACAGTGGCTCACACTTGTAATCCCGGCACTTTGAGAGGCCGAGGCGGGAGGATTGCTTGAGGCCAGGAGTTCAAGGTTGCAGTGAGCTGTTATTGTGCCACTGCACTCCAGCCTGGGTGACGGAGACCCTGTCTCTAAAAATAAAAAGGGGCAGGCCGGGCGCGGTGGCTCACGCCTGTAATCCTAGCTCTCTGGGAGGCCGAGGCAGGCAGATTGTTTGAGCTCAGGAGTTCGAAACCAGCCTGAGTGAGAGCGAGACCCCGTCTCTACTAAAAATAGAAAGAAATTAATCGGACAACTAAAAATACGTAGAAAAAACTAGCCGGGCATGGTGGCACATGCCTGTAGTCCCAGCTACTCGGGAGGCTGAGGCAGAAGGATCACTTGAGCCCAGGAGTTTGAGGTTGCTGTGAGCTAGGCTGATGCCACGGCACTCTAGCCCGGGCAACACAGTGAGACTTTGTCTCAAAATAAATAAATAAATAAAAATAAAAAGGGGCTGATAAATTAGAGGACAGCCAGGAACCCCATGACAGCCACCTGCATCACCTAACAGAATTCAACATATCCAAAGGCTGTGTGACCCGGGCACATTTTTCAGCCTCTCCTTGCTCATTTCTTCATCTGCAAACAAGGGTAACAACCACATAGGGCTTTTGTGAGAATTACATTCACGCAATGTACTTAAAACAGTGTCTGACAAGTAAAAAACGCTCAACACAACTCCATTACTCCACCCCGACGAGTGCCGTGAGACTGGCACGACCTTCACTCAGACTTTAATGAGAGGAGGTCAGAAGGAAACTGCCCATTTCTTTGCGTTCCTTGGCCAGAGGACACTATGCACCAGGTCACCAATCAGACCCCACCTGAGAAGCCCGTAGGGACCAAAACGAACATCGGCCCTTGTCTCCTAACAACAGTTGACGTGAATTGATTTAAGAAAATTATAAAGAATACAATCACACTCTTATTTAAAACAGCTACAAGAGACACTCTCCATTATACAGTGCCGCTCACAGGATCCTGTGGTTTTGCTAACACATCGACTGCCACAGCAGAAAAAAATTTTTCCCCCTGGGGCCCCGGTGTTCTATTACAAAAATAGAATAAAAATTTCGAAAATAAAATGATCCTTTCTCATTTAATGAACAATCTGTTATTTTTTATGATTTTCTGTGTGTGAGTTATATGCCACTTGAAAAATAGTTCACGCAGCTCCCAGGTGAAGAGACGTGTGAGTTACATACGCTTCACAAGGCCCCGGGCTCACAACTAGCATGAGTTAAACACAACTCGCTCAGCAGTTAATGTGTTAAGGTCCTCTAGCACTGTGTGTGGCTGAGCAGTGGGAGTGACCAGTATCAGTGGCAATGATGAGCAGTCACCACACACACGCTTCCTATGCGCTAGACACCGTGGGGCGTGCTGCGTGTCCCTCACGCTGGCAGGTGTGTACCAGGCACCCCATTTTACAGAGGAAGTCAATACACCACAAATAACCAACTGATGGCAACGCCCCAGAGCTCCCAGCCGGAAGAAAAAGGGTCCTCCTCCTACCTTTGTGGACAGCAGGGCCATTTTCCTGTGGGGGTGCCTTCTCGGTGCCTGGAGATCGGGGCACTTCCTTCTCTGCCTGCTTGCGGGCCTCACCCGCCTTCCGGGCCTGCTTGCACTTCTGGTCCAGCTGCTTGAGTTTGGCGGCACAGGCGGCCAACCTCTCTTCGCGGGCTCGGCGCTCCTCTTCTTCCCGGCGCTTTCGGGCTCGCTCCACTGCCTCGGACATCTCTGACTGGATGAACTTCTGCCGCGGGGGCGGCTTGTCCTCCTTGTCCTCAATGGACTGCTGCCGGAACACGCTGCCCATGGAGGGCTTCTGCCAAGAGAACAAAGCCTCTGCTAAGATGGTGTCACAGGCCCAGGACACAGGGCCACTCCCGCTCTGGGATCAGTTCCCCAGCCCAGGGTCCTCAAGCACCTTCCCCACCTGTGCAACAGGCAGGCATGGGTTTGCATCTCGCCCTGCCCTTTACTACACCTGGAATGAGGTATGGGCAAGTGCCAACTTGCTGCACCTCTGTCCATGTTTGTAAAATAGGGATAACAACGAAGCCCTTGGGATTGTGAAGGTGAAAGGAAGTGATGTTTACCAAGCCCTCAAACAGCACGACTGACACGGGGAATGTCAGGACGTGGACGCTCTCACCACTGCTGATGGCACAGAAACGAGGCCTCCGTGGCTAATGGACAGGAGCGGGAGACCACAGTCATCGCTCCTCAGTCACAAAATAGCTACTGCTGCCCCCGTGGACACACGTAACCCCCGGCTACTAAAAGCCACAAGAGAATGAAAGTCACTGTTAGACAAACAGCTTCAAATGAAAAATGTCTAAAGACATCTCTTTTGGATATTTATCCACTCCTGGGTTTCCTGTTGGTTGTCAGTTATTGACTGACCAGGGCCCTGTGACGCAGTGTGAAAACACGCGATGCTGGGGAGACCCCACGCTGGTCCCCGGGGAGTACAGCCGCGGGCAGAACACACGCCAGCACCAATGGCGGCAAATGCTGCCTGAACCCAGCCACGCAAGATCTGACTATCCAGAAAACGAGACTTTCTGTTTTCAATGGTAGTTACACAGACGTATACAATTGTCAAAAATCATTAAACAGAAACAAATCAAAATCTATGCCTTTTCTTGTAGGTTAATTATACCTCAGTAAAAGAAACAGGCAACACATTTACTGTAGTCGAGGAGTTTTTTCCTAAAAATTAACTTCTTATAATCCAGAGACAATTACTGTTACCAGAAGATATAAACTTCCAGTTTAGAATCATAAAGGTACAGTTTATATAATATAATCGGGACAAAACTGTGCCCTGTTCTTTCACTTTGCCACTGATCCTGAATGTCCATGTGTTTTATAATGATCATTTCACAAATTGTACCGTAATCTCCCTTATCGCCTGGTATTTAACACACCATTGCAGATGAGACTTCGTGCTCAGCCCTTATTAACTTCATCAGATAATTTCCTGGAAGTGAAGTAGCACGCTCAAAAGTTATATGTAAACTGCCCTTGACACACTTTTCTAAACTGCCCTAAGAGGCTGGGCGTGGTGGCTCACGCCTGTCATCCCAGCACTCTGGGAGGCCGAGGCAGGAGGATCGCTTGAGCTCAGGAGTTAGAGACCAGCCTGAGTAAGAGTGAGACTCGGTCTCTTAAAAAAAATTAAAAAAAGAAAGAAATCTAAACTGCCCTAAGATTAGCTATCATTTTATAAACTAAATGTTCTGCAAAAGATTAGAACTGAGACAATATTTTCAGAAATTTGTTGACTTTATTCAGTTAATTTACAGTGTTATTATGAGTAAACTGAAGTGAAACCTTCTTTTGAATATTGAGCAACCCTAATATATGAATGGAAATTTAGATTAATTGCAGAATAATTTTCAAGGAATGACACTATGTCTATTTTGTTTCACTTTTGTGTCTCCTGTACACAGCAGTGCCTGGCACGTAATAGGTACTCAGTAAGACTGACAATAAGGACATTTAATTTTTTTTTTTTTTTTGAGACAGAGTCTCACTGTGTTGCCCGGACTAGAGTGCCATGGCGTCAGCCTAGCTCACAGCAACCTCAAACTCCTGGGCTCAAGCGATCCTCCTGCCTCGGCCTCCCAGAGTGCTGGGATTATAGGCGTGAGCCACCCCGCCCGGCCAGACATTTCATTTTATAAGAAAACGTGGGCCAGGTGCAGTGGCTCACGCCTGTAATCCCCATGCTTCAGGAGGCCAAGGCGGAGAGTCAGCCTGGGCAACATAGCGAAACCCTGTCTCTACAAAGAACAAAACAATTAGCCAGGAGTGGTAGCGCGTGCCTGTAGTCCCAGCTACTGGGAAGGCTGAGACAGGAGGATTGCTTGAGCCCAGGAGTCCAGGCGTTTGAGGCCGCCGTGAGCTATGACTGTGCCAGCCTCAGGGACAGAGCAAGATCCTACCTCTTAAAAAAAAAAAAAAGAAAAAAGATGTGGAATAGTAGCCCTTTAAATAGCAAAGTGCATTGAAAATGGCAAGTTTTATCAAGCGTATTAAAAATAACGCCTGTCCCTTCCCCAGCTCTTCCTCTCCTGACCAGGTCAATGCAGAGTCGTCAGATATGGCAAAGCAAGTTACACGTCAGGTGCCGGAGGTCATGGTGGCTCGGAGTGGGGGTCAGAGCCTAGGCAAGGTGGGAGGGTGGACACGTGCAGGTGCGTCCTGGTCTGGGAGTCGGAACCCAAACTGGATGAGGAGAGACGGCCCAGCAGAGAAACGCAGAGCACCTGGAGTGGAGACCGTGACCTCCGAGTGGGTGGGGAGGGCAGCTGCACGGCGGAGACAGGGTGGTGGAAGGGTGGGAGACTGGTCTCACACGGGAGTGATCAAACAAGCGGAAATGTTAGGAATGATGATGCTGGAAAAAGTAGTAACAAATATGCCACGGAGAAAACTGGAAGGAAGCCCAAGGAAGCCCACAAAACTGAAGGTGTTACTGTGAGCAGAGGGTTTTCAGTGTAAACATAGATATGCATGTATGTATGTATTTGTACACACACACACACGTGTATACACGCATACATCCCCTAACTCTGTCCGCTGACAAGACCCAGGAGCAGTGACGCCCCAACAGCAAGGAGCACTCTTGGGGCTCAGATAATTGTTTTCTAAATACCATCCTTCACTAAAAGAAACTAGGACTCCGTGGAGAAAGGGCTGATCCAGGCAAGACGAGGAGTGTGGAAAAGGTTCCTGTCAGAAACCAAGCACAGGCCGGGCGCGGTGGCTCACGCCTGTAATCCTAGCTCTCTGGGAGGCCAAGGCGGGCGGATTGTTTGAGCTCAGG